AGCCCGGGCTGCTCAAACTCCATCCAACCTGGTACTGAACACGGCCAGGGATGGGGCATTTCCTCCACCAGTCTCTGGACACTGCTGTCCAAGTCTCAGCTCCATCTCAAACCTGTCAGGTTTATACTCTTGGCCTGACAGCTTGCAGCAAAAGCAGCAACCACCTGATGCTGTGTGGAAAATGCTCTGGTGAGGTTGTCCCTGTGTCCCGCCATGACAGCATGGACATGCAGGCACAGGATCCCTTTGCACTTCTTGCCCTGCAGCTCACGGGCAGAGCCAGCTCTGAGCCCATGAGCAAACGGCATGGATGGAAACATCTCTGGCAATTGCATATTGCTGCTCCAGCTGTGGCAGTGCTGGCTGGGGATGTCACAGCACCAAGCCAGGGGAGGACTCAGCCAAACCCCTTTTCTGTGTCACATCACTGAGATTCACCGCTGAATTCCCGTAAGGAAAGGCAGGTTGGCTGGCTGGGGCCCAACACAGAGAGATGCTCAGGAAGACTGAGCTCCATCCAGCCTAAGGCAGCCGGGACGTGAGAAGCCAAAAGTTTCATTAGCTGGGATCGCCAGCGTCTGAGAAGCCAAGCAGGAAATTATATGTGACGGGTGAACAAATTAGCACCCAGCTGCGAGCCGCGGCTCCGCCGGGTCTGCGTGCCCACGGCTGCTCCGCCCGGGAAGCCGGGCACGCTCCTGCCCTCTGCCCTCCCCTGCCATGGCATCGGCCTTGTCCCTGTCCTCAGCATCGGGCTGGGCACCGGCAGCTCACGGCTGGTGCTCACACAGGCACACACAGAGGTACACACAGAGGTACACACACGGGTACACACACACAGGTACACACACGGGTACACACAGAGGTACACACACACACAGGTACACAGACGGGTACACACACACACACACAGGTACACACACACCCCTGTGCACACACAGGCACACACACACAGGTACACACACACCCCTGTACACACACAGGTACACACAGAGATATACACACACACAGGTACACACACACACAGAGGTGCACACACAGGTACACACACACCCCTGTGCACACACAGGCACACACATACAGGTACACACACAGAGATATACACACACACAGGTACACACACACACAGAGGCACACACACACAGGTACACACACACCCCTGTGCACACACAGGCACACACACACAGGTACACACACACACACACACACAGGTACACACACACCCCTGTACACACACACACAGGCACACACACACAGGTACACACAGAGATATACACACACATGTACACACACACACACACACACACACATACACACACACACACACACACACACACAAGCACACACACACAGGTACACACACATGCACACGCTCCGCTGTAGCCTGTCCAACTCTCCCATGCCATGGGAACAAGGCAGGGATCCGGCCCCACGCCCCACACCGCTGTGGTCCCAGCACAGCCCAACCGCACTGGATTTGCCTTCCTCACAGCACGGCAGGGAGGGTCCCTCTCATCCCACCTGCACACCGGGGACCCTTCTCCCGCTGCTCCCCTCTACCCCTCTCGGCACAGGGGAGCCCGGAGGTGCCCCGGGGTGCCCCGGGGTGCCCGCCCGCCGCAGCCCCGCGCTGCCGCTCTCGGTGACTCAGGGCACAGGGACAGCCGTGTCCCGGGGCGCTTTGCCCGGCGTGTCGGGACCGGGCTGCTTTATGCAACGAGGAGCCTGGGCTTTCCCCGGCTGCCGGAGGGCTGAGGCATGCCCCGAGCTCCCTGCCGGCTGGCAGAGGCACCGAGCGGGAGGAAGCCCCCAGCTCTGGATAAGCGGGATGGCAGCGGCAGCGACAGCTGGCCCTGCAGAGCTCTGGGCTTCCTGGCAGGTACCGACCCCAAATGCTTCTTCCCGTGTTCCCAAGCCCTTCGGAGCTGGCAGGGCTCCGGTACGAGTTCCCCAGCTCCCTCTCCCTGTTGAGTCCCCTTTAACAAGAGGGAAAGAAGCCGAAGCAAGCAGGAGCCTCTGCAACCCAGCCCGGCATCAGCCCGCACCCAGCTCAGAGCCAGCCCATCCCGTGCCAGGCTGGTGCAGTCGGGACGGACACCGGCACCTCTCCCGCTGGAGCACCCCCCAAATCTCGCTTCCTCTGCCGAACACCTCCACCCTCCTGCCACGAGCTGTAGGAGCTGCAGGGGTGCCCAGGGGAGGACAGGTCCCCGCTCAGCCCCAGTGCCAGGCTGATGGCCAAAGCAGGGGACGAGGATCTGGTGCTCGCCGGTGCTGTGGAAGGGTGAGCACTGCCCTTCCCTGCGCGGGATGCGCTGCCCCAGCCCAGCCTGCATCCCCCCGCGGGTCCGGGGCAGGGGATACTCACGGGCGGTGAGCGGAGGTGCCCTGGCTGAGGTTGGCCACGTAGGCAGCAGGGACATAGCCCATGGCCGGCTCCCCCAGCAGCCGCCGGGCCAGCACATACTCGCCCTCCTCTCTGAGGACACGCAGCTTGTCCCCTGCGCTTACGCTCAGCTCCTCGGCGCTGCGGGCTGCGAAAGCGTACAAAGCGATACAGAGAGAGGACTTGGGGATGAAGGAGATGGAAGTCGCCTCCGAGTTCAGCGAAACGGAATCGGAGCCGAGATACCCCAGCGAGCAGCTCTCCGTGACGGAGCGGGGACGGAGCTTGTTCCAGAAGGATGTCAGGAAGGTCAGGCGCTTCCTGACGAACTGCTCCATGGCCGGGGTGGCTGGCTGGCTGCGGGGGGCTATGCCACCGCTCTCCCGGGGACCGGGGCAAGGGGTGATGCGGGGAAGCTCATCCCGCCGGCCCGCGGTACCCGCACGCGTCTGGGCGCTCGCCGGCCCTTCCCGGAGAATTTCCTATTTCTGAAAGTGAAACTGGTTCGTCTGGTGGGACGAGTCTGCGGGCGGGACGAGTCTGCGGGCAGGAGTCCCACGCTCAGACCCACGGGCACATCTGGGAGACAGGCACAGCTGCAGCCGGGCTTGCTGCTCTCGAAGAAGAAGGAGAAGGACTGATATTTTATTTAATCATTATTTTAAAGTGTGCTCTTTGCTTCTTACCAGAGCACTATAAACGCAGCTCTCTGTTCTTCAAGCAGCTCTTGTCACAAGTGGCTGACTCCAGTTAATAGTCTTCATCTCACTTGTGTGGGAGGATATTTTGTTTCCATAGGACAATAATTGCATCCACAAATGTGGGAGAGTTAAAACAAAATTAAGGAAATAACCTTAGAAGGTATCTGAAGTGTTTGGATATTTCCTGGCTGGATATTGGGGGGCTTATAACACAAGATCTTTTCTTCCTTCGGTCTACAATGATCTCTAAGAGTTACCCCACTAAAGCATTTGCCTCCTCACACTAATTCCCTGTTTGCAGAGGATTGCTAGGGAATTCACATCCCAGATCCACCAGGATCTGGTGTTCACTCAGCCTCCAGCAGAGATGGATCCCCCTAAGAATCAGGAGATCTTTGCTTGATGCAGGGACTGAATCAGCCTCAGGTGCTTGCATGGCATCCACAGCCAAGCCCTGGAACAGAACCCCCAGCTCTGACAGTGTCAGCACAGTCACACTTCCCCAGCCCTGGTCGCACTCAGACACCGACATGGTCCAAATCCCCTCCCAAATCCCAGCACCCACAGGCAACACTCAAAATACAGAGATTACCCCCTCACATCTTCCATGTCTACTTGAAGCCACCTGGAGATTGCTCTGGTGAGCAACTCCAACCCCCCAGCCCCCACCTGGACTTTGTCATTGAACTGTTCCAACTAATTAGTGGGAGTTTTGTGCCTGGCAAACCCACTCCTGGCCTTGAGCCCATTATTTTGGCTCTCCTCTGCTTGCAGTTGGTCTGTGTAGCTCATTTTGGGTGTGTAGTTGGGATTTGAAAGAGGCTACTAAAAAGAAATATGAAATTGTAGGAGTCTGGGCTGCCAACTGCAACCATGTGGGGTGTGAGGAACAATCTGGACCCATGCTTGGGTCAACAGCTCTAGACATGCTGTGTCCTGCATCCTGGGTGTCCCATGATGGCCAAAACAATTGCAAAAGGATTTCCTTGTCTGGGTTTTGGACTCAGCAATTTCCTCACCCTCTCCCAGGCAGAGATGCCCAGGGCAGAGGTCAGGAGCACAGAGCACTCCTCAGCATGGCCTGTGCATTCCTGAACTGATGAGAACTGGGAAGAAAGGGAGTCTCTAATAATATATTCTCTTCCCTCTTTACCCAAGTAGCACCTGAATAGATGGGTAAGTTCCCCAGGGTCTGCCCCCTGCCCAGCTCACAGCCTCACCCCCAGTGCCACACAGGGATGTGCAAAGTCTGCATTTTCCCCACTGTGAAAAGTCTCTGTGCATTTTCCCCACTGTGCAAAGTCTCTGCATTTTCCCCACTGTGCAAAGTCTCTGTGCATTTTCCCCACTGTGTAATGTCTCTGTGTATTTTTTTCACTTCAGCGTGAGGAGGGGAACTGAGGATGGAGCACAGAAGGGTTTGCAGACCAAAGGGAAGGCACACCCCCCCCTCTGCTGTCCTTCTGCAGCCCTTGTAACAAGTGTGCTCCTCACGTCACACTCCATCAGGAGCAAAAGGGGCTGCCTGGTTATGCCCTGAAAAAAAATCTGATCAGATGCACACAGAGAGCTTGTGCCTCACTGTTCTGAAGGAGGTCTCACTGAACTTCTGGTCTGCAAAAGGAGACTGTGAACTGATTTACCTTTATTGACCTTTGCCAGATTAGATCCTCCAGTGGTACCAGCGATAGAGGAGTGCAGCTGATTTCTAACATGCAAGGCTTTAGATCTTGATTTGCACCTAAATGAAAGAGTACTCTCAAATGACAAACATCCCCAAGGACTAAATACTGCCTCTGAGCTGAACCTACCAGACATGCAGAGCACAGACTCATCCCTACAAACCTCTGTCTGCACAGGACACACAGGCACAGCTCAGCCCCATGCCAGGAAAGAGATGATAAATCACAACCTTTTTCTTGTATCTTTTTTTTTATTATTATTTTCCTATTCAGCTCCAGGAGCATCCCTGCTGCTTTGAATCCCTTTTAGTACTATAAAACACCTAAAAAAAATAAAGAAGAAAAGCATGTTCATAGAAGTTTCTGGTCCTTGTGCTGTGGGAAAGAAAGTGAGAAGATGCAGTAAAAGTGACAAAGATAAGGAAGGCACAGATATCTGATGGATCAAGTATTTCCTCCTCAGTCCTTGTGACCAGCTTACAAAGACGTATTAAAAACCAATCTGCCCACAGATCTGGGGCTGTGGTGGGTACACAGGGACCTCAATTCTAGCACCACTGAAGAGCACCTCCAGAGAGCACCAAAACCAGCAGAGCTGCCTGCACAGCCCTGGTTTGGCTGCAGAACACCAGGGAGCCATAAACACAAGCAGCATTTTGCATCCACCTGTGTGTCAAACACCACAGTGTGGCCTCCCAGCCTAATTGACAGAAACCAGCAGCTCCCCTCCACTAATGACAGCACCCATTACACCTAATTAGCTGAGGTTCTGTTCCAGGTCCTGCTGTGTTTACACTCAAAATACATCTTCCAGCAAAGAGCCTTTTTTGAGGGAAAAAAAGGAAGAGGAGCATAATTACAATTAAGCCCCTAAACAGCAGAAAGTTGGAGAATGCAGGTCATGCTGAGGGAAATGGCTCTGAGGGATGGCAGGTGACTCTGGGGTCATGGGCTGTGCCACTTGTCACCAATGAATGGCAAAGCTCAGCTGGAGACCAAGGATGGCCACACTGTACCTGGCCCCCCACCCTGGAACACCCAGCCCTGAGGTTCCTCTTGGTCTTTTTGATGGCATCAGAAGATGGCTGGGGTTTCTTCTAGGCTCTGTGTTTCTTTGTCTTTATTTGTTTTTAGTGATTTCTCCAGATGTTTCCTGGCACCACAGTACATTTGAGGAAGGTTTAACCTCTTACTGAATTGTTTTGGATGGGTGTCCACAGGACAGCTCAGACAAGGGCTGGTGGGTGATGAGAGCAGTGCACAGGAAGAGGAGCAGAGTAGAACAGTGGCATTAAAGCAGCTTCAATTTGTCTCTGTTTCCTGGGGGCTGTGGAAGAAAGAGGCACCTTGGCAGACTCTGGGCTGTCACCATCGAGGGCAGAGCCCATCCCTGGGAGGCTGATGAGGGCAGGAAGGGTCCAGGGGCTGAGGGGCTCGTAGACAGTCAGTGCAGGGGGTTCAATACAGGCAAAAGTTCGGTGGTCCTGGGACAGGGAGTGGTACAGGAGGTGTGAGAGCAGGCACAGCACCAGGGGGTCTCATGGTGGCTCTCTGAGCCCTGTAGGGTTGGGTTGGACTGGCTGGTAGAGAGCAGAAGTGCAGGTCACAGGGCACCTGAAATGGCACAAGAAAGCAGAGAAGCTCTGTAGGCAGAGTGAGCTGTTTGTACCTGGCAGGTCTGGGGCACAAAAACCTTTAAACCCACAGTAAAACTTTTCAGGGACCCTGTAAACCCAGGCCTCATCGAGGAGCTGAAACAATGGCAAGGAAAAGCCAATTCATTTATCACACTGCACTCTGTCACATTTCTGAAGCAGAGTCCCTGTTTGAGTGGAAAATCTGTAAAGACCAAAACACTAAATCATGCTGATAAACAGCCTGGCCAGCCTCCAGACTTTCCCTTTCTGCTTTTTCCTGTGTTTATCAGCACAGACTAGCCTTTGCTTGCCCCATCCTTTAATCTAACTCACAGAGAATGAATGCTTCTCCTAGTACTGACTGCCTGGCAGAACTGCACTTCTCAAAACTCCTCTGCTCCTGTCTCTGAAGTAACCATAAAAACCAATAAAACCCATTCACCACATTCCCCAGACTGGCAGGTGCCAGGGAGGTGTTCAGCCTCTCTGTCAAGGCTGCAGGGATCTCCAGGGGAAGCAGGAGAAGGGAGCTCAGGCTGTGCTCCCCATGCCCCTGAACACCTGGGGTGGAGTTCTGGCCAGGACTCTGTCACTGCTGAGAAGCAGTGGGAGTCCCCAGGCTGGCAGGGGATGACAGGGACTTTACACAGGCACCTCACAGCTGTGCTGCTCTGTTTTGGGCTCAACAAACAGAGGACTGGTGCCTTCAGGAGTGAGGAGCAGAGTGACTCAGATGGGCAGGGGGAAATCTCTGCCAGTTTGTAAGCAAATGATGGATTGCTCCATCTGCCCAGATGTCCTTGTTCCCCTGGGGAGGAACCAGTCCATCCACTCCATCACTGAGCTTTGTGATATCCCTCCCCACAAAGGTCCTTCCAAGGCTGTTGGATTTGGGGTTATGACATTAAATGTAGTTAGAATAAACCTACCCAGAGTCCCAGGAGAATAGGCTCAGGAGACCTCACCCAAACCACCTGGTCCATCCTATACTTATGTCTTTCCCCATCTTTGCCAAACCAGTTCCTAAAGGACCTCCAGGAACGGATACGGCACCACGTCCCCAGACAGCCCATTCCAGTGAGTCACTAATCATTGCCAGCAGAAACGAGTGTCTAACCTGCTGCATTTCAGTCCATTACCTCATGTCCCATTCATCACCTCATTGCTCCATTCCTCCCTGCATGGGAACACTGCTGAGGCGTCCCCCCACACTGACCCTGTGGGGCCCCAGCCCAGAACAAACACACTGACCTTATACAAGGGGGCAACGTGGTCATCTTTTTCTCCATTTGTCCCCAATCTTCTTGCCCTGTCCACGTGTGCTGGTGTTCCTGTGGTGCCACCTCAGCTGGCTCTCTAGTGCATTCACCTGGGGGGGAGAAAGCAGCAGATCTGAGAGGAGTCTGCACAGATCATCTTTAACCTGCCCCAAATGCAAGGAGTCTGCACCACTGCACAGGTAGTCTTTAACCCGCCCCAAATACAAGAAGAAAATGCTGGCTCAAGTTTTCTTTGCTGAGATTCATGACTCTGTGAAAGACAAACATCGGGGCACCAAGTTTTACCTGTTTCCGTAGGGAAGTGACTGTCTTCTCCAGTTCAGCCACAAGGGACTCAAGATTCTCTCTGGAGGAAGAGCTTGGAGAGAGTGCCTCGTCTCTGGGGTCAGGGATAAAAAGTGAAAGGGGTTAAGCAAACAGTTATGCAAACACCCTCCTAGGTGAGGGCATCGTTTTGCCTTCTCTAACATCAGCCTCCAAGCCAGCACCAAAGGGAAGGGCCCAACAAGATTCACCTGCCAAGAGATGCCAGCCAAAAAGTCCCTAAACCCAGGTATTTACACATCAGAGCTGGGCTCTGCACTGAAGTGTGGAAGACTGGCTGAGCTCAGCATCTCTCTACTGATTCACCCCTGACCCCAGATCTCTGCAAAGTGCCAGATTCAGAGGCCTGAATGGACGGAGTTATTAATACTTCTCTTTCATAAACTGGAGGTAGAAGGGGTGATACTACACCTGGGCAAGGCAGGCTTGTGCTTTGCAGGGTTTTCCTCTGGGTAGCTGAAGCCAGGAGACCTCTTGCTTCGGAAGCGCTGCGAAAGAGCCCTGAATTGCCCTCGTGTCCGGCAGTCTTGGGGAGGAAGGGAAAGTCTGCAGTGAGCACTGGTCCTTAAACAGTGGTGAGTCAATGGCAGCAGCACAAGGCAGGGCTGGCCTCCTGCACCATCCACCCTGGACACATCTCTTGGGCCAGAGGGAAGGAGGCAACCAAGGTGTGGAAAAGGGTGTGCATCACTTGTGGATTACCATGTCTCAAATGGACATCTGAACCAGCATGCAGCCCAAGGGGACCATGGCACGATCTGAGGTTTAGTGGCAGAGATTTAGGCTCCCCAAATGAATCTGTGAAATGACACATGCTGGGGATCATGTCTTGTTTCAGTCTCTTCCTCAGTCAGAGAACAAAGCTCCCAACGAAGTAGAATTTCAGACAGATAAAATGAAGCTAACAGAGTTAACAGGCTTCCTAGAGAAGTGGCGAATGTCCCAAACCTCTCAGGGTTTAACAAGCATTTGGATATAATAATAAGACATAATTAATAATTTGCTTTAACTTTTGATCAGCCCTGAATTGGTCAGGAGATTGGACAGGATGATTGCTGCAGGTCCTTTACAGCAGAAATACAATATTCCTATTCTATTCTATTCTATTCTATTCTATTCTATTCTATTCTATTCTATTCTATTCTATTCTATTCTATTCTATTTCTATTCTCAGTTCTTTTTGCACCCATTTGCTGATAGAAGGGTCTCATGGTGCAGCCAGAAATCAGCTACAATTTCATAAAAGCTGCTGTGACATGTGACAAATGCCACCCAGGGTGATAGCCACATCAGTCAGTGCCAGAGCATCCCTCTCCTTACCCTCACAACAGTCCTGCCACAGGCGGAGGTCCACAGCAGGAATCTCCTCACAGCTGACCATGCCCTGCAGGTATGATGCCACCTGGAAGACGTCTCTCTGCAGCTGCTGGATGTGGTCACTGTTGTCACAGATGACACGAGCCAGGGACGCCTGTCTGATCTGAGTCAGCTGCGCCGGTGTGAACACTCCGGGGTTCTCATACCAAAATCTGCAGTGGGGTGTAATCACAGCATGACTCAGGAGTGGGAGAGGAGGAAGGGAGTGAGTGAGTGAGTAAGTGAGTGAGTGAGTGAGTGAGGCTGGGAGAGGAAAATGATCTCCCTGACATTTGTGTGGCAGCACCCACACCCCTCAAAATGAGCGTCTGCTCTGGTGCCAGGTGGCTGCAAACACAGATGGCTTTTTCTGAACCCACAACCCCCCATGCTCCTGCCCTAAGTGCATGGCCAGGCAAAGGCGTCTCGTTCACACAAGCAGCAAACAGGGATTAATTAGAAAGAAGCTCCTGTGGACATTTTCTAGGATTTTCATGAGATGTTGGGAACATCCTCAATGATTCCCAGTGTTCTGCAGTGAAATGAGAATCATTAAATCAAGAAAGGACACCTTGACAGTAACTGTGACAAGTGTTCTTGCAAATACACTGGACAGAGAACACTGTTTCTCATATTATAAGTCAATAAATAGGAAAAAATTACAGATTCTGCTTCTTCCTGTAAGGCAAAAAACCTCCCAAAGAGAATACCAAAGGATTTGGGATGATTCCAATGGCAATACCTGTCTCCATCCCTCAGCCTTCTGAACTGAGTCGTTAACAGGCACATCAGTGTTGGTCCCACTCTGGTCCCAGGGACAAGATCCTCCACCATAAGTGCTGGAAACAGGTCAATATTTTTGGTAGTTCCATATAAACTGCAGGATAACAGATATTATATATTAAAAAAAAAAAAGTTAAGAGGGTGAGAAGAGTGGTGATAATATACATCTGATACCAACATAGAAATTTGTATGTCAGGAAATCATCTGAACAATATTTTTAATGCTTTTATCTAAAAGACAATAGGATAAAGACCTGCCTTGGAAGAGGCAGACAGGGCAGATAGGACACAGTTTAATCTGACTGGAAAATAGCTCCAAGGCTCAATCTGCTCCCAAACTACACCACAGCAGTGCCTGACAACATTCCACCCAAAACCAGACCGATCACTTGGAGAAACTTCATTTGTCTGACCTCATTGTTAAACCACAGTTATTACCCTATCTTAACATCTGTGGGGGCAATATCTGGGAAGGTTATTCCATGGGTGTACTGGAAGAAGCAGGAACTTTTCACTGACTGGTCTCCAGTAGTTTTGATCCTTCCACATCCAGGCTACAGTACCTCCTGAGCTTTTCTCTGATCTCCAAGTTCTTTATCTCATTTCGGAGGTCCTCAAACTCCTGCGCTGAGGAGAGGTTGCAGAAGACCCTGAAGTCGTTGTAGGGTGGGATGCCATGGTCTCGCCCTCTCTGGATGTTGATAGCAGCCAAATCCAGTGACACAGAGTGCGCCATGGAGAAGAGTTTCTCTGTCAGCTCCATGTTGAGGAGTTCAGAGGGCACCCGCATTTTCCCAGGAACCCCAAACAGCCCACGGAGAAGGGGGTCGATCCCCCCTTCCTGCATGATCCTGAAAGGGGAGAAGAAGGCCTTGTGCAGGGGGATGTGGCCTTGTCGGATGGGCTGGAAGGTCTCGTTCAGCCGGTACAGGATGGGGTTGATCAAGGTGTGCCCGAAGCGGAAAGCGGCCGTGGCAAAGGCGTTGAGAATCCCCGCGTTGACGTTGGGGTTGTAGCCTTTGTACTCACCCAGCATCTTCATCCCAGCCTCCCCGAGGACCTTGGGCAGCCACTGGGCATAGGTGATGTGCTGCATCTGGGCACCCACAATCTTCCGTGCCTCGTGGTACAGGAGGTCCCCGTCCCAGTGCGGGTTGAGGGCAGCCAGCTCGGTGGCAACGCGGTTGTGCTCCCTGAACCACAGCGTGTGCATGGCCGTGAGCCCCAGCTGCTCGTTGGCGCGGTGGTCTCCTGCCAGGAAGCACGGCACGGGGCTCTCGTTCTCATCCCTCATGCACTCCGTGGGTGGCCCCACGGCAAAGGGAAGGAGGTGCTTCCCCGAGCTGGGTACGACTTGCCCTCGCTTCAGCAGCCCTTTCTGGCCACTCAGGTCCCGCAGCTCCCGCGATTCCTGCTCCGTGCTGCCGTAAACGTTGGAGGCGTCGATGTAGGATGTCAGGTGGTTGATCTGCTCCCTGGCATAGACAGAGTTCATCAGCAGGGAGGTCATCCCGCTGCCACACACGGGGCTGGAGCGCACAAAGAACATGCAGCGCCCGTTCCGCACGCGGGGGTCGTTGGCAGGGACGGCGATGGAGAAGCAGGGGGGGTCGTTGGTGCACACCTCGCTGCAGGGGGCTCCGTCTGAGAAACGGGACATGCTGATGGCTGCCACCGTCTGGTCCATGTCGTGGTCCAGGAACTGGCCCCACTGCATGAGCATGTGTGTGAACTGGTCATCGGGGGTGATGGTCTCGGTCCCGATCATAGCAGTGGAGACAAGGCGAGGTAGAGGAAGGGGCAAATCCCTGGCATCTTCTGCCAAGGAAAACCCTCTGGGCAGGTTAAATCCATTCTGGTAGGCAGGTTTGAGGAGCCTCTGGAAGGCTGTGAGGGATGCACCCCACATGGGGTGCTGGAGGTTGTTACAAGAACCGTCGTGGGTCCTGTACTTCCTGTGGAAGCAGATGTCGGAGCAGTTGGGCGTGCGGCGGTGTGCGGAGCAGCCCGACAGGTTGGCGATCATGGCCAGGTAGTGAGGGGACACCAGGTCATTGTAGCGATAGCCTGCAGAGGGAAGGGCAGAGCACCAGATCAGGCACCACCCGCAGCCTCCTGATCCCCACTGTCCCATGGAACGGCTCTGTGTGAAAACCCGTGTCGGAATGGGCTTGGGCATCTCTGAGCGTGGTGTTGGTGTGGAATTTATGGGAAGCAAAGGAAGCACCGAATCACATCAGACCCACAAAGCAGAAAAGAAAGGGACGAGAGTTTAATTGCACAGAGCTGGAAACCAGAAATGTTGTGACTGGCAGAGCAAACTGTGGGGGTGGTCTTGGTCCCTATTCTAGGTTTATTTTATGGCTCCCTGGGTTATTGCTGCCACCATGAGCTCCATCACCCTCCCAAGCTCTACGTGACGAGCAGCAGGAAGCCGTGGGTGACTGCCAGGGCACTGCTGGGCCGTGTGAAAGCGCTGAATGATGCTGCATTGTGTGGATGCTGACAGGGCAATGAGGAGGAGAGGCTGGCAGTCCAACCAGCCCAGACCAGACCTGCCGCCTGGAGAGACATTCCTTGCACCCTGGAACACATCCAGGCAGGAAAAAATATTTACAGGCCCCAAACACACATGCCTGCTACATGATGAATCACACGCATAGGTAGAAGCACGCAGTGAACAGGAATGTTTGTTATATATCAAGGATGTGCCAGGTAGGAAGTTTTGGGGTCCAGCTGCTGCATGACTGAACCTCATTAGGTATTTCTGGCGTTACATAGCTTTGTTATTTGCTATCTTACCTCAACACAAGGAACCTGAGCTGCTGGGACTTACCTGAGTTTGTAGCTAAGAGGTCAAAGTAGTAGAGACAGAAAAGGGATATCCCACTTCCTCTGTAGCAGCACGCAAATACCTCGGAGTTCACAGCACTGTTCTCGTTGCCATTTGGAGGGCAGGAAACATCTCAGACCATACTGCTGAGGGTCTGAACTTCAGACCCACAAGGATACTCCTCTATCAGTTAGATGGCTAATATTTTTTTAAGGAATAGGGCTTTTATAACCATCTAAGAAACCTTTACCAAAACAGGGAATTAAAACACTTTCCTGGATATCAAACTGGTTCAATGAACATAAGGCCAGCCCTTCAGCAGTTAAAAAAACCCCATGAGATATAGAAAGAATTGCCACACAGACAACACATTTCTTGATATACCCAACATTTATCTTGATTTTTGATACACCACTGCACATTTTAAACTTCCTGGATGTCTACATATCATTGTTTTCATTTCACCCCACGTACAAAATTAAGAAGGGAAATGAAGTCTTTCTTACCTGTGACATTCATGTCCACAATCAGCCCTTGCTGCACGTGCTCCTGGATCAGCTGCAGGGTCCTTTCAAAGATCTCCCCAGCCCTGGCTGTCTCGATGGTGTAGGGGTCCCTCGGGTAGCGGAACAGAGCCAGGAGGTCATTGGGAGTCTTGGGGCGCCTGTTTCCAGGAATCAAAAGTGATGCAGGATCATTAAAATTAATCACTTCTGCTCAGGGCAGTGAGACACCACAAGCAGCAAGAGTCAGGCTCTAAGCTGGTCTAGTGCTTGGCCCCCAGTTTAGTGCCTAAGAACAACGTGGCTTGCCTGCACATTGCAGATGATTAAAGAAAGGATATTTTTCCCGAGGAAAATGCACATATTTAATTCCCTCAGTTTCTCTGGGTTTTTTCTGTGATAGCAATTTATTTTTTCATATTTCAACAGCTGAAACCCAGAGGGTTTCTGGCTTAATACAAACTATCCATCCTTCCAATAAAAACATATATTGGGGTAGAAAAGGATTGAATCATATTCACTTGAGAATTTATTTTTTATTGAGGAAATGGTTGGAATTTTTATATTATTATTTCTGTACACCCTCCACAAAGTCAGTTGCATTCATAAAATGACTACTTTGATTATTTTCCTTTTTATTCACTATCTCCACAACCAACTCCAGCTGACAAAACGCAGATAGAAGCGACATAAGAGATGATGCTTGTGTATCTCATTTTTCCAGAATCCCAAATCTGTTGGGAAGCTCTATCACATCCTACATAGCGCAGCTTCAACCTCCAGCACTCAAAAAAAAACCCCCCGTAGTTTTCCTTTGCAGGCTGCCAGTGATAAAATGAGCTTTGAGAAGGCTCCATTTCTTCATTTCTTGTGGGGTTTTATCCCTTTTCTGCTTCAGGCCCCAGCTCCAGGCCCTTCCCACACTTACTTGCTGAAGAGCTCAGTACGTGTGGAGTTGATGGCGTGGTCCACGCTGCTGATGGCCTCGCGCAGCGACGTGGCCACAAACGTGTCCCCGCTCCGACCCACGTCCGTGGCTGCCCAAAGCACAAAGAAACAACAAAACACCCTCAATTTGCTTCGATATTAATTGGCCCTCTCAGTTCATGAAAATCTGTGCACCAGCTCCAGTGACCACGCTGCAGAACAAGCCGCATTTCCGCTTGTAATAGAAACACCGTGAATTTATTTTTTAGGACAGATATTCTGAAGAATGGGAACTGCCTGAAAAAGAAGGTGAGTTTTTCAGATGTTTGTGGGCACACATTCAGAGTTTTCTCCCATACAAAATTTTTTGCAAAAAAGAAAAATATCTGTTTTGGTTAGTGTTTAAACTGCAAAAATAAAATGTAAAAACCACAGCGAGTTAATCCGAAAGAATATATTTGCTTCCCACAGGCACTTTTCAAATTCATGAAATTAATTTAAATATATTGCTCATATATTAACTTTATGTTTGTGGAAGACTTTACTTATTAATTATTGGTAGTATTTAATAGATACTTATGATAATCTTACTGTTAACACATTTGCTATATGGTTTTATATAAAAATATCAAAATTGTTGTTGGAATACCTTCAGAAGTAAAGACATCATTCTTTAAAATTACTACAGGATGCATTTTTAAGCCAGGGCCTTTGTCACAGCTGAACAAACCAGTTCCCAGTTGGCTGCTGGTGTACGCTGCTGTCAGCTTGTGAATGAGGCACCAATCAAGAACAAACCAGAGAAATTATCTCAGGAATTATTTCAAACAACAAAGACATTTCTGACCATTTTCAGCTCCTTGCTTACAGCCTCTGTATGGAAAATGTAACTAAATTTATCTAATAAGCAATTCACTATCCACTGTGGCTATTGCTGGAATAGCTCTTTACTTCTATTTTAAACGCTTTTGCTTGCCTTTGATTTCTTTTTTTTCTTTGTCAGTTTTCTTACCCTCAAAGAGGTACAATTCCACTCCTGACCTCTGGTTTGACCAGCAGAGGAGAGCTACTCCTCCTTGTTCATTACAGCTTCCCTAATGCACAGAGCAGGAGATTGAAAACCAGACCTAGTTCCCATTCCCAAGATTGGTGCACAGTCTAAGGCTGGACTTGATGATCTTGAAGGTCTTTTCCAGCCTTGCTGATTCTGTGAGTGTAGGACTCTATGACTGAGCAGACATTTAAACCCCTGTATGTGCAGTGACAATGTTGTTCTGCTCCTCCCTTCCCCAGCGTGTGAGGTTCTGGTCAGATGATGATTTGTGAGCACATTGGCACATTTTAATAAGTTTCTCCCCCCCAGCAAAGGCAGTAACTGCATGGACACCGACAGCTGGGCTTGCAGGAAGAGGTTTAAGACAACACCTCTGGCTTTGCAGAGAAAAACTGCAGCTCAGCTGAGCAAACAGCGAGGGGCAGCTGGGAGATGCGTGGGCTTTCACGAGGTGACTCCGATCCAAAGGACCTGTCTGCAAAGAAGCTGAAGAAATCATTTCTTACATAATTATCTGCTCAAAGTGTAGCTGTCAACAGAGCACAGCACATCCTTACACGGGAGCCAGAGAAGGCCCGGGGGAGATACGGTACCGGTGATGGTGAGCTGCATGGCACTCGAGGTGAAGCCAAAGGGGTTCCTTGCTATGCACTCGTATCTGCCCTGGTCAGCCACACCCAGGTCCTGAATGGAGAGGGTCCCATCCTGGCTGATGTGGAACTTGCCACTCTCTGTGATCTGGATGCCCTCCTGTTGCACCATCAAAAGACAGAAGCTGTGTCAGAGCAAGGAGAGCTTCCCACCAGCCCAGCCTTCAGCCTGCTCAGCAAACCTGGGGATGGATGTGATGAACAAATGTGGCCACCAGATGTTAGCATTGCTCTTCCAGAGAAACCAGAGAGAAGTCCAAGGGCACCTGCTCCTGATGGGACCCGCAGTGAGGAGGTCCCTGCTCAGCTCCTTCCCCTGGCCCAGCCCAGCTGTCCCCACAGGATACCCCACAGGTCACCCCACCCAGACATGCTGGCTGGAACAAGCCCCAGGCACTGATGCCCCCACAGAAGTTTCATGGCACAGAATTAAACTGCAATGTTTTCAGTTTTAGGACAACAAACTAATGGATTTTTGCTGGCCTTGATCTGCAGAGCCCAGCTTTTGCTGGCTCTGGCAGCATCACTCAAACCCAACCTCTCAGCCTGGCTGGTGGCAGATGTGATTTTAGGTTTTACTTTTTTAAATCTCCTGCTTCTTACATCTTTCTGCTGCCCTGCCACAACCTGAAGCTTGCTCTGCTGCCCTCTCAGGCCCTTTCCTTCTGCTCCCACTGATGGTTGAGCCTACAGAAAGCTGAAAAGAAAGAAAGCTGGTTCACCTCCCACCCGACTTTTGTGGGGTAAGTGTGGCTCAAGCATTTTCTGTGCCTGACTGTGCTCAAAGGCAGGGCAGGAAACAAGGAAAGTCCCAAGTGTTGTACTACAGAATAGCAGGAAAAAAGTCAGAAGAACTTAATCTAATGAATTCTTGGAAAGAGCAGCCAGGCTGCTGTGTGATTTTGAGGGATCATGGCTTTGCCCCATCAAAGCTGGAGCCAACAAGCATCATCCAATACCATCAGCAGGAATCCTGGATATAAGGAAAAGCTACTTAGAAAAAAAAATCAATTTTCAGAGTGTTTTTGTTTTTTTTTTTTTTTCTTCCAGGGATGGTCAATCAAGTATTTAAAACATCCTGGAATGTCACTGGCTTCAAGTGACTCTTTTGGAAAGAAGAACTTGCTGCAAGGCTTTGAGTCTGAGAAACTGCAATGCTCTCTTAAGAACCCCAAATCAGTGGAAATGTTGGTCTTTATCCACGTGTATTACAAAACTAATGAAACTGGGAGAGGTGTTGAAGGAGGGAGCTGTTGAATTGTCCCCCAGAGGAGCTGTCCCTCTCCCCAGTGATGTGAAGTCACCACGTACCTTGACCCAGGTGATGGTGGGCCGAGGGTCTCCCTGCGCAGCGCAGGAAATGGAAACGTCCTGGCCTGTCTCTGCCACCAGGTCTTGGGGGGGATGAAGGAACACCGGGATCACTGCACAACACAGGGGGAAAAGTCACTGGGGTGAAAAATGCATCAAGGAAAACAGAGAAATGTGTCTGTGAAAAAACATCTCAGCATGGGGAAAGCAGAGCTGCTGCTCTTGCAGGGGCTCCTCACAGGGGCAGCAGCAGCTCACCCTGTGCTCTCTGTCTCTCTACCAAGCTCTCTGTTCATAAATTTATGTAATTTATGTTCATTATTTTCTGCTCCTCTGCATCTCTTCTTGGGGCAATTACACAGGAATGTGCTGCACTATTTAAAATCCTTAATTCAAAGGCTTTCTAGAAAAGATGCTCCAGCTGAAACAGGGATCATGACTTGCTTCAGGAATTATCAGATGAGGCTCTCTCAAAGTGTTAGTCAGGCTAGATTAAGTAATTATATTGATCTTGCTTGTCTTAAAATATTCTGTGAATTCTGTGATTGAAGCTTCACTAATTTCATGCTTCTAGAATGTTTCCTTCCCTCCAGTCTGCCATTAGTAAAACCCTGCCCTGTTAGTGAACAAGAAGGGAAGTTTGCTTGTTTAGAAGAATCATTTGTAAGGAAAAAAAAAAAAAGAAAACTAAGAAAGAGCTTTAAAAAAATTAAGGGAAAAAAAAAGCTTTAATTAAGCAAAAGCATCCCTGTGTGACTTGTGTTTTAGAGTCTTGATTTTAGGAAACCTAAATTTAGATTGAACTGATGGCCTGGTAGGAACATTTAAGACAAATGTATCAAGAGCCAGAGTGAAATGTTTGCAGAATGTTTCGTTTGGAAAAGAATTTTGCTAATAATTCTATAGGAAACACATAATTTTTAAATTGAAATTTACATATATATATATATATATATATAAGTAAGAATTTAATTCATACACTTTTTTTGAACATTATCCTGTTTTTAAAGGAAAATTATCCAATTTTCCTTTACCAAAGCAATTTTCTCTATGACAACTCCCGAACTGCACCAGCTTATTCCAATTTACAAACCTTGGCTCTCAGGAAACCTCTCCCACATTTCCCACCAGCTGATGGAGCTCTCGTGGCTGGATGCCTGCTCCCAGGGAAGAGCAAAATCCCACCCCATAGGAGAGAGGACAGCTCCCTGCCTGCTCAGATGGTTATTGACCACAAAATCAAATGATTTCGTGGATTTCTGTGGGGTTTCTCTCTCAGGGTTCCTAAGGTCAGGATGACCCCAAGAGAGATCATATAGAGTCTTTGCTTCCCTAGCCCGAACGCAGCCAAATGAAAGAGCCTGGAATGATTCTGATTGTGCTTTCAAGGTTATTAATTTCTTCTTATCTAAACATTCTTTCTTTGACCTGCCGATCTCTAACTAGCAAGTCCACCATGGCCATCTGCCCCGAGCCTTGGGTGGCTTTGAGTTTTATATACTCAAAACTACGTGTCTATATTTTCAATTTCTTCACCAATTCTATCATCTATGTTAGACAGAGTGTCTCTACCTTAAACCAATAGAAAAGTGCCACCATCACACCAAGGCATGGAGGACAAGAAGAAAGGAGGTGGCTAGGACACACCCAAATTCCTCCTTCTTGTACCCCCTTGAACCCCATTCTAAAAATCCCAAGATCCTACTTTCCCACCCTGTGTTAGTTCAAATATCACACTACTAAAACCCTTGTGACTTGCAATTCCTCATAGAAAATTGACAGCCCTTTCCACGGGCTAAAATCGAAGCCACAGATGCTTTTGACTTCTTGACAAGGTTTGAAACCCTTGTCAGGATCTTGAGACAACCAGGGATGTCTCAAGATGGACTCTGAGAGAACACCACCCCTCTGGCAGCCCCCCTCACCTCGCGGGGTCACCGAGAGCTGCACCGGGAGGGTCCTGACGCCGATGGCGCTGATGGCGTGGCACTCGTACTGCCCGTGGTCGTGCAGGGCCACCCGCCCCACCCGCAGCGTGCCCGTGGCCAGCACGCTGTGCCGCCGGTCGCTCGGCAAGGGCCCACCTGGGTGAGCAAGCAGCTCGTTAGTTCCCTCATCCCACCGATGCCAAAGTGGTTTTTTGCTTTTGTGTGTTCTCTGTATCTGCTTGTGGCTCTGGCGGCTGTTGTTGGATGGTTGGAAGGGTTCCTAACTCTGGCGCTTTTCCTATTAGACAAACAAATTCCTGAGGGCCGGTTCTGGTCTTGCTTCTTACGGGAATCAAGGACAAGACACCTGCCCAAGACACTTTCTCAAGTATTAGATGTAAAAAACTAGAAACAAGGGAGGCTTCAGAAGGGGTTGAGCCAAGAGGGGAAATGACTTCATTACCTGTGTTTCTAACTAGGGATTCTTGTCAATTATGTGAATTTTCTGAACTTATAAAACTATACTTGTCCTAGGTCACATGTGCTTTGGCATGTGTGCATTTTCAGCACATCTTCAGCGCGCAATTTGCCATATTTGCACCTGGATGCCTTCAGTTAAAGCCCTTTTTTTATATTACTTCCTATATTAATATTGTCTCAAAAATGTTTATTGTTGTTTCTAGATTTTGAAGGCATCACCATCACTGGAGGGGTCTGTGTGATAGTCACACATTTCATTTCCTTCCCAACATCTATTGCCCTGAAATACCACCTTTACACACTGAGTTGTCCGTCTGATCAGCTGGGAAGAGCTGGAACCCTTTTTCTTTCCTCCTAAGTATTTTCTTAGTGCAATCCGCAGATATTTTAACCCTTGATGGATAGCAAATCACTCTTCAATTATCCAAACTCTCTGTTTCATCAAATAAATGGAAACATTTGGTGTTGCCTTTCTAAATTTGTTGGGCTAATTTTTTGGTTTGGAAACAGTTGTTTCAATATTTTCTCTATTTCAGGAGAAAAGCTGAAAACTAAACCACTTTACCAAACCCAAATAAGATTACCAAATTTGTCAGGCTAGAAATTTTTTTTAACATATATTTTTCTCCGTTTTCCTCCATTTATTTATCCTCTGTTTATTCATCCCAAATAGCAAAAGCCCCTATGCTCTCAGAAGTGGTTTTGAGATTAGCAGTGCCCATCTCAGTGCTCCCCTCATCTTGCTTTCAGCATGTAAAGCACTATAAAGCTTTGTTGTTTCTTTATTTATGGGGTGCTGAGTGCAAACCTGGTTGCAAAGCAGTTATGAACCTCACTTCTTGTCACTGTGCTCCTTTCAACGTGCCTAAGATGTTTTCTGGGAAGTGGAGGAAAACAGGTTAAAGGAGATGGAGAACATGCTGGCAGAGCAGAATTTCAGCTGGTCCTTCTTAACTCTGTGTCAGGGCCTTTGCTGTGGAAGCTGGAACACAATACCCACAAACTCTCCACAGCCCTAAACCATTAATTATGGCTTGTGAAGCATAAGGAAAAGTTGGAGGACCTCTGGGCCAAGCATTATTGGCTTCTGTCCCAGAAAGGGTTGGATGAGATCAGTTCAGTGGAGCCAGCATTAACAATTATTTGAGACTTTAAAAGTTCACCACCACCTGTTGTCCCAAAATCTTTTTTCCTAAGCCATGAGAAAACTCTGAGGTGTGCCAGTGAAAGGTGCCACTTCTGCTCCACAAGGGCAGCAAGTCAAGGACAATGACACAGAGGCGGCACATGGTGGTACTGCAAAAGAAGGAGGTGGAATCAGCCCCAGAGGTGTTAAAAAAAAAAAAAATGTAGATTTGGCATTTAGGGACACAGTTTAGTGGTGAATGTGGCAGTATTGGGTTAAAGGCTGGAATTCATGATCTTAGAGGTCTTTTCCCACTTAAACAATTCTGTGATTGATATCCACTGTCTGGGAGTATCCAGACCTTGCCTTTTCAGAGGAGGTGGGAAGCCACTGCAGCAAGAAGTGTAAGGCTTTCCATGGGTTTCATGCTGATGAAAACCATCTCACTCCTTCCTTGTGACAGAGACCCAAGATGCTCCTTCCTCAGTGCTTAACACCATCCTTGGTGACTTACAACACACCTCCTAGTGGGACTGGGTCTATGCTGGTCACAATTTGTCCTTGCCACCACTGCAAGCCACCACCCTGGACCAGCAGCTCAGCTGCTCCCACCCACACCCTGTGCATGATGGCATGGGAGAGAGAAGCCACAAGGCAAGTGAGGCAGTACCTGCCCTTGTCCAGGTAATCACAGGGGGAGGGTGACCCTCAGCAGAGCAGGGGAAATCCACACTTTGTCCCTCAGTTACTGTCTGATCCGTGGGAATGACGAGAAACCTGGGAGAATCTGGAAGGGAAAGCAATGACTGGGCAGCAGGAAACAGGCAGCAAACTCGGGGAGTTCACGGGAGCAGAACCAGTCACAAGACCCAAATACAGCCCATTGGCCAAACACTGTGTCCCAGAAACATCCCAGAACCCTCAGAGGATCAGCTGGCAGCCCTCACCTTGCACTATGATCTTTGCTGTGGCCTGGATGGATCCCTCGGAGTTGCTGGCATTGCAGTTGTACTGCCCCTGGTCCAAGAAGGTGACGTTCTGAATGAAGAGTCCTCCAGAGCTGGTGATGGTGAAACGGGAATCCTGTGGCAGAGGAGAGCCCGTGCCAAGGGTCCAGGTGATGCAAGGGAGGGGGTGCCCAGAGACCCCACACTCCAGGGTGACACTTTCCCCAACCAGTACTTCAGTGTTCTGTGGCTGGATCACAAAAGTGGGCTTGGCTGGAAGGAAAGAAGAGTTTTAGGAACCAGCTCGGCTGCCTGCTCACTGATGGGCAGAAGTTGCTTGGATTCCCACTCTGGGGAGTGGAGTCCAGCAACTCACTCTGGTTCTTCCCTCACGTCCAAATCCTCGCTGTGAGCAATGCCCCCAGTATCTTCCTACCACCTCCTCACACCCACTCACCCAGTGCTGGAGCATCCCCATGCCCGTGTCCCCTTCACCCTTGTGCTGCAGCATTCACCACAAACTTCAAACTCCCTCCCCAGTCCCAAATTACTTTCATTCTCTAAGTACCCCTTTTCCCCCTCCAGTGGGAGCCCCTGAAGCTCAGGCCTCCCTTGGCTGTCACCACTCTCTCCCCCGGCTCACCAAGAACATCTTGGCACATAAAAAGCTGGGACTGACTCTGATTTAGCTCCACTCCCATCCCCAACTGCCCAGGTCATAAAGGGGTGCTCAAACTCAATTACATGGGGTGCCAAAATAGCGCAGCACGACTTCCTGCGTCTTGACCTCCCCAGCAATGTTCTTGGCCATGCACTGGTAGACGCCTTTGTCCGACTCCTTGGTGTTCTGGATCATCAAGGTACCATCTTGCAACAGGTTCAGGCGGTTGTCATCTTTCATGTCAATCTTATTACTGAAAAAACAGCCACAAACAGGCAAAATCTGAAAGGAATAAAGACTGGTGGTCCCTCTTGGGGGGATCTGAGGGCTTTGCATTGCAGTAAGTTGGTGTTTCTTGGAGCTATTCTGAGACTTCAGGAAATTTGCAGCAAGAGTTCTGATTCACAGCGCTGAACTGCAGCTCCAGCTCTGATTTGCTCCCTGGGTGAGCTGCTTTTTCTCTCCCCACTGATGACACAGGACATTTATGGCCCATCAGGAGAGCACTCTGTTCCCATGTCACAGCATCACTGCCTTTGTCAGGGCGTCCTGGCCTGGAAAGCCTGTTCTCCTTACTCACTAAGTGCAAATTTAACAGTGAATTAATATTGTCCTTGTGTGCAGCCATTGCTATTCAAACTCGAGGCTCAAAGGCCTGAGAGGAGCAAAAAGCTCTGAGAAGTCACCATGGGACCCCAACACAGCTTGGACTCCAACCCAGCCCGAGAGCTGTGAAACATCTTCCTTCTCTCTGCAACGACCTGTGACTCCTGGATCCCAGCCCGTGGCAGAAGGTCCCAGTGCTGCATCCCATTTGTCCCAGCACAAAGGAATCTTGGCTGGCTGCAGATGATGGAAAGGGAAGAAGGGACCCCTCTCCCCCGAGGACAAAGGCTGAACCCACTATGCAATCTAATCTGCTTGCTGGGCATTTATTTAATTCCCCTGGTGTCTCCTAACTCCAGCCATATCTCGTTTGTTGAACATTTATTATCATTATCCTTCTTACAATGCTGTCTTTGGGAGCCTGCCAGCATTTCCCTAACAAAACCTTCCTTCCAAAGGGACTTAACTCAGCCATAAACTTTTGCTCTGGACTGAAACTCTGCCTGGTGGGGGGCTTGCTGAAGAAGCACACATTGATAATTTTTTATTAATAACCGAGCCCTGCTCAGGCTTCACCAGAGAAGAAGCTCATAAAGCAGCAAAGCAGCTTCACTTCCACAGTGGGTGCAGAATATTTTATTGTGCAGCATTTCCCAGAACACCCTGGCATCTAGCACATAACCTATATACAAATTTGTAAATTCTGTCCTTCAGTGGAGCACAGCAATTTTTCCCTTTGGAAAGAAACCTCATACCTAGCACGATCAGCCTTTAGTGAGAAGCATTTCAGCAGTTAACAAATGGCCAGCATGGTGGCTGAGAGCAACATGAAACTCTAATTTTATTTTTTTCCTGATCAAAAGACAACTGCTTTCAGCCTGCAGAATATGTTTATAGAAAACTTACAAGCTCTTGGAATCCATTACAAATGCAGATGAAATATTTCAAATGCAGATGAAAACACCACTTGGATTACGTGGTCACCAGAGAATGATGTTAAAAGGAAGGTAAATATAACCCATGAAAAAGATTTGTTTGGTTTTTTTTTTGTTTGTTTTGTTTTGTTTTTAACGTTGTGTGAAACAACTTTTGTAATTACAGGCAGGCACTGAAGAGCTCAGTGCTTGAAAACCTTTGCCACCCCAGGGCTCCTTGTATGTGACTTACTTGTTGTGCAGCCAAATAATGGCAGGCTTTGGGTTGCCTTCTGCCCTGCAGGTGAAATAAACCGTGTTTCCCAAGAGCACATCGACGTCCTGGGGTTCTGAGGTTATTCGTGGCCTCTCTGCAAAACATAATTTGAACACAAGTGAGTCCAAAGCAGCACAAAACTACCTGCAGCCCAGCTGGGGTATGGTGGGGCACACAACACCTATCCTGCAATGCCCCAAGAAACAGGGACAGCCCCAGGGGCAGCAGCATCTGCTCAGAGCCACCCCAAAATTCACTAACACCTGCAAATATAATGGAGGAATAGCATCATTCACCTGTAAAGGCCCTGGGGAATTGCTCTGCTCCTATTCCCTGTAGCTGGGCAGTGGATCAGCTCCCACAGCCCTGGCTGTACAGGGGCTCATTAAGGAGCAGGTCCCTGTCTCCCCCCAAAGAAGCAAAGAAGTCAGTAGCATCCTCACTTGGGTTGTTTTTCTGCCCTTGGCAGCCTGCAGCATTCTGCTCCACCTGAGCACAGAGCCAGCTCCCTGCAAACCACGCCACTTCCTTCCCAACAGGATTTTATTCATTACGGCTTCATTCATCATCCTGTCCCTATCCAGCCAAGCCTTTCACTGTGTTCTTCACTTGGAGATGTATTCAAGCACCAAGCAAGTTAAACATTGAAAGGATGTGCTGAAATAGGGAGGAATTTATGGACAAGCCTGGAGTGCTTGAGCTTGATTCAAAAAGCTTACCCATTTCACAATCTGCATGTTCACCAGTAAGCCAGTAAAACCAGCTGGATTATTCCTAAAATTGAGAACCTGTCACCTCCTCCAATGGAAGGGTAGCATCTTCACTCCTCAGACCATAAATTAATGGCTCAGAAAAAATCCCCAAAAGCAAATCCAGCACAGCTCAAACCCATCACAGCCCCACAAAACACTGACTCGGGCAGATTTGGCCCTGTGGCTCACAGCTGCTCAGAGCCATGGGTTAATGGTACCAGCAGCTTTCAGACTGACTCAAATGTCAGCCACCTGCATGGGTAGAGCTCTGTGCTGAGCTCTGTATCATTTGTCTTCCCAGCTGGCACACCACTAGAGTGAAAGCCAAATGCCAGCAAAATCTTCCCACCAGGTGCTCTGGTAATTTGACAGACACCCCACTGTGTTTCCATGCCTAAACCAGAACAAATTTGCACTAACAGCTGTACTGTGGCACTGGGAGTGTGTTGGGGACAGCTCGCTGTGTGGCACAGCCACTCCATGTGTCCCCAGCTGCTTTCCCTAAGCCCTTCCTATCCCCCCTTCCCTTGAGGTCACAGACCTTTTTGTGCCAACTCAAATCTTTGCATGGCCGTGCCCTAAATTAATCTGTCAATGGTCAATTTTCTTTTTTTTTTTTTTTTAATAATGAAGTCATAAGAGAAAACTGAATTCAATGGAGAACTCTTCAAAATCCAGCTGAGCTCACACATTTGGCTCACAGCAGGACCATGCACAGCTGGATTGTCATATCCAGGGGGGGAAGCTAACAGCCAGCCCATGTGGGTGGGAATTTCTCAAACTGACCCTACCAGCAGCAAAGCACCACAGAACTACAGCCAATGTTTTTGCCGACCTCCACTTAAAAATCAGAATTTTGTGTTTTTCTATATGAAATAACTAATTTTCAGATTTTTCAGAACAAAACCTGATTTAAATTTCTAAATTTAAAGCATCACAGCCTAACGAAATCCATCAAGTTACACCAGTCAAACACAGCATTCAGCTCCATATCTGGGATGCTCTCCCTCAGGTTTCCAGTTGTGTTTCCTGCCACTGCAGCTCTCCCAGTGCTCCCCTCCTGTTCAGCCTAATGTGGGGTATTTCCCCTGGTTCCTGGCTTAGCCACTGGTGCAGCAGATCCTTTACCAGCCCTACTCTTTGCAAAAAGCCAAGACAACACCCACCAGCCAACACCCCTGGGAATATCAGCATCCTCCTGCAGCCCCACTGGGGTTTTCCCATTTCAGCAGTGAAGGAGGGAGAAATCAGGATGCCAGCAGAGGGCAGAGGGAGGAAAAGGGCTGGAGGAAGCAATTCCCAGAGCAAAGCCCAGCTCCAGGGGCTGAGGGTGGCCAGTGGAGGGGTGTGACTGTGCTCACCACAGTTGAACTCCTGGGCGGTCAGGGTGGCGATGGAGCGGCCGTGCAGCTCCCGCGGAGCCTCGCAGGTGGCAGCGCTCTGGATGCTGCCCTGCTCTGCAGATCGCTTCAGCAGCTCTGCCAGCCACAGCAGGTCACAGTCACAGAACAGGGAGTTGGAGTCCAGCCGCCTGCAACAGCCAGGAAAAGGCAGCTGAGTGCACAGCCTCCAGCTGCCATGCTGCCTCCTTCTCCAGGGGAGACAGCCCCCCAAGGGAAGGGTCACCTGGGTGGTTTGCCCTGCATTTGATTATATCCCAGGTGAAAATCTGAGATATCTCACTGCCACGATGGTTAACTAGGATGCTTGACCAATTTGTAAGATTTAATTGAACCGCTACTACCAACTATTCCAGTTTCAAATAGAAATTATTCAGTCAAACTGGGTTATGCAGTTTTAGACTACTTGAGACACTGAAATATTGGGTTTTACCCTGGGATGGAGGTTTCAACCTTTACTGAATTCTGTGAGAGCTGCCTCTGTTGCAGCTTTTCTCTTTTAGCTCCAAAAAACCCTCCCCATTTATTTACATGTGGATGGGATCAGACCCTTCCTGTAACCAGCTGTGAGGGCTTGCAGCATTTCTGCACAACTGGGAGAACTTTTATTACTGCAACACAAGCATGAACCACAGCAAATGGAGCTCCAGTGACCTCCCAGTGCCCCCAGCCTCTTCCCTGCACTGGCTTCATTCCTAGGAGCAGTGCTAGCCATGAGGATAAAGGAGGACTACAGGGGGATTAGTTTGTGCTTCCTTCCCCACTGACAGTTTTACAGTCGGTGGGTCTGGGCCATTGTCACGGTTTTCAAAACCAGCACAGCCATCCAAAACCAAACAAACAAAAAAACAAAATGAAAGGAAGAAAATTCTAACACGTTCAGGGTCACATATTTGAGAATGTGAGATTTCACACAAGGCCATGACCGAGTATTTTATAGACATCCCATCCTTTTCTCTGGCACCTACAGGCAGCATTTCACAAGATATTCCCTGTTAAAGAGAAGTGAAGCATTTTACCTGCTTGCAGAAATCACTGAGGGCAGCAGTGAGAAATACATTACTTTATTGTACTTGAAAATCATGGCAGAACACCAAAATTCTTTACCTTTTGCATTTTTTTTTTTTCCTCCCAAACACATCATAGAACTTATTTCCAGAGCTCATAAAACCAAAGCAAAAAAGAAGTAAGCTTAAGAGACAGACAGGTTATGGGAGAATGGCACCCTGGGGAATTCCTGCATGGAAAGGGAATCATGCCCCTTGGCACTCCTCTGACTAATTTCAATCTAGAAAACAAGCCTTTTCTTTTATGACTATGATTTTTCTAAGCATGTTAGATACTGATCTACAGACATGTTCAAGGTCATATCCGTGACCTGGACTTTCTGCATTTTTCAAGGATGCTTTATAGGTTCAAACTGTTGTGAAGACTTTCCAGGAACGTTCATTCCTGTGACATTATTAAGCTGTAAGCTGATTATAATTAGACACTTACATAAAGAAACTTCTAACTGCTTAAATAAGCTTTCACTCCAATCAAAACTGTTTTATAACTTTGCAGTGGCCTTAGAACTGCAACAACTAAAAGCTTTGCCAACCAGGCACATTTTTCCTCGGGTCCTGCCCATCTGATTGAAGATAAACAAGTCCTCTTTGCAGGCAATGTTTTTACTTACAGCCGTTTGAGGGATTCCAATTGAGAGAATGTCCCTGGATGAATCCTGGAGATCTTGTTGTTGTGCAAGAATCTGCAGTGGGAGAAGCCATGCCAAGGCATGATTCAGTATTTGCACTGTGAGCATCATTAACACCCCAGGTCACAACTCAGTTTAAATGCAAAGGCCACTCATCAAAACGGAGCTCAGTTTTTAAACTCCATGTTCGTTTCCATGAGCTGGAGGGATTTCGTCCCTCGGTGGGTGTGACGTGATTTGCCAAAGCCGAGAGCGGGTGTGGGCTGGAAACAGTGACTCAGGATGTGATGGAACAGGTTTAAGCTGGACCCTTCCAGTTTCTCTGCACAGGGAGGAGAAAGGGCACAAAATCCCCTCAGATTGGACCCACCCTCTGTTTTCTGGGCCTGGGACCTTTTCCTTCCCCTGTGCAGATGACGTGACAATTTCAAAAGGGCAGCCATTGATGTTAGACAACTCATGTAGTTATTAGCCCAAATCCATGAGCAAATGTAATTCAGATAACAGCCACCTCAACTGGGCTTATCTCTGAACAAAACTGAGGGAAATTCTCACTTCCAGAATCTTAGCACACACATAAAACTCTCCAGTTCTTAGGGAGAAACCCTGACAGCGCTAAAATGAACAATTTTAGTGGCGACCAAGAGCAGATAATTAACTTCCCATTCCCATAATGGTGCGGGAATTTACTTGTGTTGGTTACATCTAAAACACATAAGAGACCATTGATAAAAGAGATGAAGCAATTTTAGTAGGTGGTGGAACAGGAGAGAGCACAAAAGCAGCACAGCTCGAGTGCAAAGTCTGTACACACACATGTGCACCAGAGTCCAGCCTGGCTGCCCACCTTGGAGGCTGAAAAACTTTCCTTTAAAATTTAAATCCAGAATTTTTGTTGGATCCAATACAGTGACTGAGATCAGCCATGTACAGATCCAGGTCTGAATTTTCCTAAGGGTGTGGGATCCCACAATTTTATTTCTTTGGCCTGTATGGATAAAAGGCACATTTCTACACAGCCCAGAAAAAGTCTGCTGGTTTCTCCATGGAGTGGGAACCACACATGGAATGTTGTGCTGGTGGCTCCATTACTGCTAGAAGTAGTCCTGGGAAGCAGGAGACTCCATTTCCTTACTGCTTTCAAGAAGGATGTGTGTTTTTCTTGTTAGACTTTCTTCTGACTTTATCCCTTTTTGTTTAGCTCACTCTGCCCAACAGTGACTAATGTTGCTGACCTTATGCTCAGAGTAAAATTTCACTTGGCTTGACCAGCTGTAGGATTTTTTGCAAATTTACTCCTATTTAGATGGAAACCTGAATATAACATAAAATGGGAAATTCCCTTCACACCCTCAGTCACCCTCCTACTCGGCAATTATGTAAAATCTCTTTAAAGAAGTTTCGTTTTGCATTTTGGAGACCACACTCCATGCTACCAAAACTGCTACACTAAATAAAAAAGTTTTTCCCCTTCTCCTCACCCTCTTAGTCCCAAGAAATATCCCATCTTTACTCACAGCCTTTCAAGTTTAGGCAGGTCACTAAAAGTCTCCAGCTCCAGACTTTCCAGGTTGTTGAAATGCAGGTACCTGTGAGACAGAAACCACACACAGATTGCAATTTCAGAGACAGAACTTCCCAGATCAACCCACCAGTGCCCCCCAGCTGGTCACCACTCATCTCAGGGCAGGTGTTGGGAAGCCAGAATCCATGTTAGTGTCTCCAGTTTCCACAGGCAAACACGGTAGCCAACATGGCTTTTCTGCTAATACAGAGTAATATTTTTAGTTCCACTGAAATCCAAAGTGTGACCTGCCACTCCAGAGGCCCAGGGCTCCTCCTGCCTGTCCCTGGTCACCCTTTGCCATCAAGAAAAGAAATGTGGTGCCTGCAGAGCAGCTCACCACAATACCTGAGCCTCCCTGTTGCCACGAGCTGTGACATTGACCAGCACAACTGACACATTCCTGACTTTTAGATGGATTTTTTTACAGTCCCCAAATTGCCTAAACCGTTCCCCTTTATTTTACACAGGCATAAATTTCACAGCAGACACAGATTAATCACAGATCTACAAATACTCATTCTGCTGTTGTAGCTGACTGCATTGAGAAATAATTGCCTAAGCCTCCGCATGGCTGTTTGATTTGTAATGGAAGGATTCATGACAAATGGTCCGGTATCAGAGAGGGTGACTCAGATTCTGCACTGCAGGGTCACAGTGGGGAACACAGGGACGTGCTCTGATCACTCTCAGATGCCTGCTGAGATTGCTCTGGACCTTGAGGAAAGCATCTGATCCTGTCCATCACTCGGGTTATACTTTTTCTTGAAAAGCTGGCTTGTGGGGACAGGAAAACGGGGTAGGATTTGAGCAAAGCTATTTCTTCTGGAGTTAAGCCTGCCTGGGATTGAAAACAGATGGGACTTTCAGCGGGTTGTTTGTTGGTTTTGTGGGTTTGTTGGGTTTGTTTTTTTTTTTTTTCTTTTATTCGTGACATCAGGTTTGGAATGCTCACTGCTGAAATATCCCCGTGGGCAGCATCAGCTCTCCACGCTCAGCTTAGAGCCAGTTTCAGCTTCCTAAATTTTCTCCCAGGCATCCTTGCTGAGTTGGCTGATGAAAAACCACATTGTACACAAGCTTGGTGACACACCTATTGTTAGGATTGCCTGAAACTTCCAATTATGCTCTGTCCTCTTGTGCTGTCAACCTGGAGAACAAGCTAGATCCTATTCTTTTTACAGCAAAATCCTTGGTTACGTTCCAGCCCTATAAATGCTGCAGCTGGGAACAATTCAGGAATTAGACCAGTTTCACCTTTGGTCCCTGCTCTCCAGTGATACAAGTAATTCCTATATTTCAGTTATTTAGGAAGAATAATCATTAGGAAGGAATTGTTCCCTGTGAGGGTGCTGAGGCCCTGGCACAGGGTGCCCAGAGAAGCTGTAGCTGTCCCAGCCCTAGGAGTGTCCAAGGCCTGAGAGCAACCTGGGATAGTGGAAGGTGTCCCTGCCCATGGCAGGGGTTGGAATTAAATGAGCTCTAAGATCCCTTCCAAGCCAAACCATTCCACATCTACGATTCAAGTATCCGAGCTCACACTCTCTGCACCAGTAAGAAAAATCCCGTCCCAGTTTAGGAAGGTATGTCAGAAGAGTCAGACCTCAGTGTACCCACGTCACCTTGAGAGTGGTGCACTAAGAGTCAAAAAAAAAAAAACTTCTTTGAACAAACAGCAGAGTTTGGCTGTACACAGAAGGGGAGCAAATGGGGACTGTTGGAGTGATGGACTCCAGCTGCCAGGAAAACACACGAGGCTCCCTCCATCCCAGACTCAGCACAGAGTGCCACACAGCTTGAGGGAAGGTCATCCCTGTGTTTGTTTGGATCCATCACCTTCCCCCACTGCAATTTCCCATGCTTTGCAGCATGGGAGCACCACCATCCTGGTAGCTCCCAGGAATACTCGGCTTGCACTTCATCCATCCATTCCCAGCAGAGCTTTGGATGAGGGAGAAACTCAACCAGCACCCTCAGTTTAAGTGAAGGACCAGATCTGACTCTCTGCTCAAGGAATCCCCAGACACAAACCCAGCAGAGCCTTCTTCTCCCAGCCCTCCTGCAGACCCCTCCCTCATAAGCTCCTTGGAAATAAAGGCCATCAGAAGCACAGTTGGGTTTTTCCTACTTTCCAGAGGTTTGGGGACAGGATAAAACATATGGAACACCAGTAGGAAGAGACCTCAGCACTAACTAACCAAAACCAATACTCAGAACAGCTGTTTGCAAATGAACCCAGTGTAGCCTGGCAAATCTGGATGAGAAATGAGCAGAAGCTTCATCCTAGCCCTCGCTAAGTGCCTGCTGCTCTCCAAGCCTGGGAGCACAGCGTGCAAACAAGGCTCATCTGTACTTACAGCTGCTCCAGGGAACGCAGCCCGCGGAAGGCATGTTGCTGGATGCTCTGAATTTCATTTTTATAAAGGTAGCTTTCAAAAGGAGAAAAAAGAAACAGCATTAGGTGAACTGATCAGCAGTTCTGTTCTAAAAAGTCACAGCAAACAGCAATGACCCTCAACCCAAAGCAGAAATTGTGGCCTGGATTCAAGGGCAATGTTTTACACCTCTGACACTGAACTCCAAACACACACAGCACATCCTTGACTGGAAAATATTAAAAGTGGGTTGTTAGATTTTGAAGAGGTCAAGAAATTACTGAGCCACCAACTCACAGGTATTTCAGGTTCTCCAGATCTTCAAAGGATCTTCTCACGATTTGTTTTATCTGGTTATTGTTCAGCAGCCTGTTCAAATCAAGAAAGAAAAACACAGCTGGTGAAGTCAGGACGTGTGAGATTTGTGGCATTTCTGTTTTTGGATGCCCACTTGAAAATTCTGAGCCCATGTGTCACAGGATTTAAGATTTAATGGGGTTAGCAAGTCAAATTTTGGGTCCTCATACCAGCAAAGGCAGTGTGAAGGTTTCTCAGCCAGAGGGGCCAAGTACTTCCAAGACTGCAGTGTTCAAAGTATTTTCCTGACCTTTTGCCACAGTTTTCATCCAAAGTGACAATTTCACCAGGAAAGGGATGAAGGGATGGGAGAGAGGCAGAAAGAAGCAGCGGGCAGTGAGATATTAAATCATTGCTGCCACTCTTGTACAACCACAATGGTTTTGGAGGTGCCTGGTTGTGTTCAACAGGTGACCAGCGGAGCATACAGCCAGTTTTTAAAAGTAAAAATGCAGTTTAAAACACCAGTTCCCAGTGGAGCTATAGGAGCCATAAAATGCTAATAGCTTTGTTTTAATCACTTTGTAACTGATACCCGCAAATGAGAAAGAAATAAATTCAACTTTGACTTCTGAGGCTGCTCACAGACAACCTCTTTGGAACTCAGGAGCTTTTTTTGCCAGATTTTAATGCAAAACCTCTGGGCCACGTGGCACTGGAAAGCTGTGTGACACTGGTGTGTGCAGTTGCCATGACTGTGTGTGCAACTGATGGGCAGTGCCAGTGCCCAGAACAGCCCAGCCCTGCCAGAGCCATGCTGTGCAGCAGTGTAACCACAGAGCTGAGCCCTGCAGAGCTCTGCTGCAGCCCCTGCCAAGCCCAACTCAGAGAAAACACAATAAATCACTTATAAATAGCTCCCTAATACAGAGTTTAGCTGTTCTCGTGGCTGCCCGGCCGCAGTCCCACGGGTCTCTCGCTGTGGGTCCCACTGATGTTCAGGTCTGGCAAAGCTCAGAGCTGGTGGAGCTTTTAGAGCTGAATAGCCCAGAGCAAGGATTTTCACCAGCCACCACTAATTTTTAAAATTCCTAAATGGAGTTGTGGGCAGAGAAGGAATCTGTGACTGTGTACTGCAAAGATTTCTTTTTCAGGCATTGTAGGAAAAGCAGCAACTCCCTGTGCGAGCAGCCAGACTGCACTAGGTTGGGTCACATTCAATACATGCACTGGATGTGCATTTTACAAGTTGATTTTTGCCAAAACTCTGCTCCTCAAGAATGATCTGCCACCAGGCAGCCGGTGAGAAGACAGTTCAGCATTTTCCCAGCAGCAAAACCCAATCTTCTGCCCCACTTTTCTGGACAAAAAAGAGCAGCCAGCCTCTGTCATTAAAAGCCAAGGTCTTTTCCTGGCCAAAAACAGTTTGTGCAGGGAAAGGATGGAGAGAAAAGACAAAGAGATGGAGATAAATGGTAAAAAAAAGTTGTGGGAAAAGAAGATGAAGGTGAAATAAAACATCTCAAGGATAACAGAAGAGATAAAAGATTTCAGAAGCACATATGTGTGATGGTAGCTTTGCAAGTTCTCTTCAGGCACCTGAGCCACACCAGCTTTTTCTCAGGTGGAGAATTACACTGAGAGTTAGAAAAAACACGTGAGAAACTCAGGAGCAAACAACTTTGCAAGTCAGGCAATGAGGGGTTGAGAAAAACCTGATGACCCTAGGTTTGACTTCCTCCCTGGATTCGCTGCCCTGATACCACGGGTGTGGGTGCCACTGCCAGGCTGCACATGCCAGGGCTGGGCACAGGCAGCCTGAAGAGGTTAAGGAAGAGGTTAAGGAAGAGCAATCTGGAAAGCTCCTGCACAGCTGGAAGCAATGGCTCTATACACACGGTTGAGGGCAAACAGCCCCGCTCACTCTTAAGGATGCAAAAATGATGTCAAGTCCTTGGAACACAGGATCCTGCTTTGGCAGCCAGCTATGCTGGGTAGAAATACAGTCCCTGAGCATCAACCTAAAAGTTTATTTGATGACTGAACACCCAAGGGCTGAAAATGACTGCCTGGGAGCAGTGTGGGAGAGGGCTTTTGTCTATTTGCCCACAGGACAAAGACAACCCAGGCACCAGCCCTGCTTCCCTCCCTGCCCCATCAGCTCTCATCTCTGGCCAGAGCAGGACAGGGCAGCTCCTTCTCTGTTAGCTGAGCCTTGGCCCCACTCCTGAGCACACGCTGGGCTGACAGAGGGGTGCCAGCACCGACATCATTCCCATGGATGTGGGCACCTGGCACACACCTGGCAATGGCCATTTGCCTCCCAGGGGACAGGTGACAGCTACCACGGGAGCAGGGTCACACCAGCAGCATGGTCAGGAGCCCTTTGCTCCAGATTGTTTGATTATTACCTTTAACGCTCAGAGTTCAGACCAGGACTGATCTCCACCGGGATTTCAAATTCCATTATGTTGTCTGGCTGTGTTTTGGGGCTATTTAAAAGCATTATCCCAGTCTGTTTTGTTGTCTTGGCTATTTTGTACAGTTCAAGGGAGTGTAATCACTGACCCAGCCAAATAAGATGAATCCTGGAAGTTCAGATGGCAAGCAGCTCACAGGGCTCTTATCTCATCGTCTGATACTTAAAAATGTGTTCATTGCCTGATTTAAGAATAAAAAGTGCATGGAAGAAGCCATCTCTGCTTCCTGTCTCAGGATTCCCCATTGCAATGGAAGGATAAATCCTGGAAACTGCTCGAAAGTGAGATAATGATGAAGTCAATAATAGCCCACTTATTCCAAAATGCTGCTTTCAGAGAAATCCATGGACAAGGCAGCACAGCTGGCTCCTAAAAAGAGTTTGGATGGCTCCTGCACAACTGTCTGCTCCTTGATTCCTGTGCAATTCACCCAGGCAAAGTGTGCAAAGTCCTGGCATGGCCTGGCTATTGGTCCCTGCTGCCATCCATTACAAAAATGCCCAAATTCCTGCTACTCTTAGAGGGCTGAAAGCTGGGACCCCAGATCTGGAATAAATGCTCTGGCAGAGAGAGGCTGGGGTGATCATTATCACTCTCATTATCTTAACCACACCCTGTAGCAAAACAGGCTAAATTAAAAGTGTCAGACCCATGTTTCCTGGCAATAGGATGGAGCACTCCCCTTCATGCCCCATGAATTGGATGCCACATGAGTAGGAGAACTCAATCACACAGGTTTTATTCCTGTAAAACCCTTCTGGGATGTTTGAGATATACAAGCACCATGAGATCTGGCCCAGATTCACCAAGAGAATATTTTACATCCAGTTTCCTCTAGGTTTTATGTGCTGACTGCCTCTCCTTCCTCCGTCCCCACCCTCTCTCCAGGTTGCCAGGCAGAGGCTTAAGTTGCATTAAATGAGTGGCTTTCTATTTTGAAGAATGCATTAAATGATGTGACAGAACAGAATTCAGACTCAAACCATGTTCTTTCCTCCTTTCATTTGACAATCCACACGCTACAGTCATTGTGACAAACAGCTATTTTTTTTCCTCACGCCATTAATAGAAATCATCACACAGCGTATTTAGAGGGGGAGAAAAATTGAGTTTTATGTTCAACCTTGTTGACAGAATGATCTGGAATTGTTATTTCCCATATTTAAGGGAGAAACTTTTATTCTGAGATCCAAGCAGGCTCTGACACCTCCTCCTTTCTGGCAGCAACACACTCTCTCAGGAGTTACTAGAGAGTAAAAGACAGAAACTCCACATTGCTGCTCTGTTCACTCTGAGGCTCTTCACCAGCAGCACCTGAAGCAGAGCTGCAGGGCTCACCAGAAGTGTTTTGTTCTCAGCTGAGCAGAAAGAGAAATATGATGTGAGCAGTGACAGGGCAAAGGGCCAGGCAGAGGCACAAGCAATGTGGTCTCCACAGAGTCCTGCTCTCTAGGGTGTTCTTGCCTCAGGAATACCAAAATACCCACTGGGGATGTAAAGAAACTTTGGTCCCTGGCTTGGACATTTCCATGGGTGATGCTGGAGAGGCCCAAGGAGCAGCAGCCCTTTGGCTGTGCTTTGAAAATACAGAGTGAACCAAAGGGGGTGACAGGGCAGCGCCGACTCCTGTGGGAATCCCAGGGGTGTCCTCATCCATCCCCACCCAGAAATGACCTAAAGGAGCAGAAATTAGAAAGCAGTGAGAGGCTGTGCCTCAGCATGGGCTCACAGCGTTTCTCCTCTCTCCCACAGCCCAGCAGCTGCTCTGAGCTAATGCTGGCTCCAGCCATGCAGCAAGTGATGGCAAACTGCAGCAAAGCAGCTGTCCTGCAGCTGGGGAGGTGGGCATGGCACACAAAAGGGGTTTTGCCTCACTCTCCCTTCTACCTTTTTTTTTTTTTTTTTTAATACCAAGGGGACATATTAAGAGATGAAAAATATCCAGCACCCCCTGCACAGATGGGAACAGAGCAGAGCCAGCAGGAGGGAAGGAGGAAACCATTCAGCTCTCTGAGATGTTCAGCCTAAGAGAACTTCTCCACCTGCACACAGGCACAGGATGTTCCCAGTGGTGCAGGATTTGGGATAACTGCTCATTACCTGTGGTGCTGCACCAGGAGTGCCCAGCTGGAAGCAAACAGTGACTGTGACTCTTCCACTAACAAAGCTCCTGTTTTTAATGCTAAAGTAGTGCTCTGTGATTTATCTAATCTCCCGCAGCAGAGGAAAGGCTTTGAACTGTTGAACAGCCCCACTGGACATCCACACAGGCTCCTCTCCTGTCAGGATCTCAACCCGTTTCCCTGCATCCAGGCTACAAAGGTTTCCTCTTCAGGGTGGTTTATAAACTGTCAAACTTGGACACAGAACAGCCACCCTGTCCTAAAGGAGATGGAGAACAGAAGCTTCACCAGAATCTGTTGCTCTTCCTCTGCCATTAGTGGAAAAAGCTCTTTAAAAAAACCATTTATTTGCTTATGGAAGATTTATTTAAATTCAATGGCAGAAAACTACAAGCTCAGAGCTCTGCACGTGGAACCTGAGCTATTCTATCCTCCAAACCTCTCACTTCAAATTTTTTGGACAAATTTTCACAGGAAATCTCCGAGTGAAATTAAAGGATTTATTCTCTTTATCACTTGAAAAGCTATCTAAGTCCCCAGGCAAAATTTACCATCTAAGAAACATCAGAAAATTCTTCAGCTCTTGTCAGTTTTGATGTGGGAATTGGACAAACCGAAGTTCCTGGAGAGAAATTTGCTTCAGGAGTTTGAGGTCCAATGTTCTCCCAGTCAGTTATCAAACTCTTCAGCTGTGGGAGTTAACTACTACAAATGTGAGAATAACTGAGTTTTCCAGCCTGATGGAAATAGGAACTAAGCAATAGGACCAAGAAATAGAACTAAGCCTAAGTTGTCCCTGAGGTCTCTGTCCAGAAGAGTGTGGAGACAAAAAGGAAAAAGAACTGGAGGCATTTGTGGAGCACAAGCAGGTGTTAGAGAGAGACAGATCCTTCCCCCTCAATCCACTCTGTCTGTACCTCCCTCTGCCCAGAGTGGAGGAGTCAGAAACAGAAGCAAAAGTCCTGCATGGGTCAGAGTCCTGCCCAGTCCAAGGTGCAGGCAGGGCAGGAATTGGGACCCTGTACAAAGCTCAGCAGGTTGGGTGGAGCCTCTCTCCCAGTGAAGCCCTGCCAGCATCCTCGTTTTCCCCAGGGCTCTGCTGAAACTCTCCTGGTGGTCCTGGGAGCTGCTGCCAAACATCTGCCTGCCCCACGCTGAGATTACATCATCTGGAACCCTTTGTTTCCTCCACTCAGGACAGCTCCAGGGGTGGAAGAGCAGGGCTGGAGATCAAGAGGCCTCAGCAGAGCTTTGTGATAAGACAAAACCCTAAAGATTTGAACTCTGTTATCTCTCTAGATAGTTTTTTTCCTCATTTCTCACTGTATCTAACCCCATCTCAAATGACAGAAATCAATCCAAAGCATCCTTTCTTCTCTATTATTTTTGGCAACTAATTATCACACAGTGCTGTTTGAGAGACTGACCTGGGCTGTTCTGGATGAACAGCATCAGTGGCAGTAAGGTTTTTGACCAGTGCATGTGATGAGCACCTGTCCTGGGCCACAGCCAGGGCACTCTGGGGCATCCTGCACTCGTGGCTTGGCCACTCAGCCCCACACACAGAGTGGAAGGATCTTTGGCAAATGCTGATTTTTCAAAGATAACACTTCAGCAGGTCTCAGTAATAAGTCCTGCTGTAATCCCACTTTTCCTACAATTACTTAGTGTTGACTGAATGCCTTATTGCCCAGGTTTGCCTTCCTTCAGCTCTGCCACCTTCACAGGATCAGGGACTTCAGATCGCTCAAGGCCAGACAGGAAAAAACAACCTGAACTTTCTGTTTCCATTTGGGATCATGAACATATGAACATCTGTCAGGCTCCCAAAGGAGCTGCTTTGCCTCACCGAGGAGTTCTGGCTTGGACCTGGAAATCCTATAGCTGTTAGCACCATGTCACAGCTCCAGTAATTAGATCTGAGCCTCAACAGCCCAAGTGCCTCCGGCCCAGTGCTGTGCTGACACAGCTTCTGGTTCTGATTTGGGAGCTGGTGTGTTTGCAGCTCCTTGGCTACGGGGTGCAGACGCACTCAGATCTGTCTCCAAGCCCTGCAGCAGCCAGAAGGAGCAGAGAATCCCAGGATTTCCTCTGGGAAGAGTGAGAAGCTGGTTAGTGGAGCAGAGTGAGCAGTGATGTGAGAGTGTGATACAAGGCTGGAGGGGCAGCCTTCTTTCCCCATTCCTACCTGGAGCAGGGCAGATGTAGGCACCTCTTTTAGGGCAAGGCATAGGGAAAGAGGGCATTTGAAAGGTGCTCAGTGGAACTCACACAGAGCAACTGATGTGGTTCATGTGTTAGAGGAGGCCATGGAAAGGAAGATGATTTTAGTCCTTGATCCCAGGTGAGAACTTTTTATGGGCTCTCTAAGGCCATACCTGCTCAAACATCCTCTAGTCAGTGCTAGAGCTCATCATATTTGATTGTTAAACAGAGAGGTTCATTGTGAAAATGAAAGTTATTGAACACCACATTTAAATAAAGGAAGGTAAGAAACAGGACACAGGGTGGAACAGAGGTAATTTTAAAGCTTTGGCCGGATATGCATAACTTGAGTGAAATAAATAAAAGCCCAAGGCCACCTTTAAGCCATTTTAGGGGACAGTACTAACACAAGTAATAAATGGATATCCTTGGAGTGCAACTTACAGTGTGTTGAGGTTCTTCAGTCTTCTGAAGGCTCCAGGCTGTATCTCCTTGATGTGGTTGAAGCGCAAATCTCTAAAAGCAGAGGATATAAACAAGTCATTAGACCAGGGAAGGGAGTGGAGAAGGAGTGGGGACAATGGTTGGGGTCTGCTTTTGTCTGTAAAGTCAGCCAGTAGCTGGGACAAGCCTGTAGTGATAAAATTCTTTATTCTAATTCCACAGAAAACCAGACACTAAAAGGACTCAAGGGATCATTCCCATGATCACCAGAAAAGTCTGCAGCAAAACACCTCAAGTTCATATGCAATTACTCTTGTAATTTGTAGAGGAACACACATCATCATGTGGACCCATAATTTAGCTCCCTGTTAAAACCTATCTTTGCCCTATAATGGTTAAATCTGCTCAAATAACCGCATATAATAAGAATTTCCCATTTTGCTCTGCAATGCTCCAAGACTTACAACAGCTTATCTCTGCCTGCATTTCAGATCTGTGCCAACTGCAATTAGAATTACTGGAGTCCAGGGGATTCTGGCAATTTTCAAGGGCTGCCCATGGAACTACATCAGCTTGGAACCCAAAACCATGGGGTTTGGATTGCTAATGGGATAATGAAATAAGAGCTAAGTGGTTTAACCTGGTTAACCAAGAAGAAACACATCTATAGGGAACGTGCATTGATTTGGCACCTTGCGTGGCCCAGTGTATTATAACAAATCACAAAAGCTGACAAACGGGGATTGCTGCAAGTTTCTGTCCAAAGCAAACACTGAAGTGATTTTTTTTTTTTTTTTCTCCTGCACTGCTTGATCTATCACATTTAGGGAATACACAGCTGTTTTTTCAGGTTAAGGCAGCCTTTTAAGGGCATTTTCTTTAAGAGGAAAAAAGCATGAGTTGCCTGTTCTGGTGGTAAAGTCACACTTGGAGGCAGAGTTTAAAACAGAGATTCTACAAATAGCTGCAAATTCAACTTGTCTTGAGACAGGCATCAACAAGAATCGTGGCATTTATAAAATTCAAATTAGAAAGAGGTGCTGTCATTGCAGGTAACCTCAAACAGACAGAGAGGACCCAAGGGGTCTGAAACAGCTTGGAGCAAGTACTCAGGAAGAGGCTGCACAATGAGTAAAGCTGATTTTATTTTAAGATCATGGAATCACAGAATCACAGGTTGGTTTGAGTTGGAAAGGATTTTAAAGTTCATCTCATTCCACCTTCCCCCTGCCATGGCAGGGACACCTTCCACTATCCCAGGCTGCTCCAAGCCCTGTCCAGCCTGGCCTTGGACACTTCCAGGGGTGGGGCAGCCACAGCTTCACTGGACAACGTGTCCCAGGACCTCAACATCCTCTGAGTAAAACCTTTCTGCTTAATATCTAATGTAAACCTGACTTATTTCAGTATAAAAGCATTGCTCCAAGATGTATCATTTCTTTAGCTTAACAGTTTGCAAAATGTAGTCATTCTATGCTAAAAATTTCATAATACATTTTCTTACTTTTTAAGCAGAAAATGCAAGGCAGTATTACTTAAATTGTACTGAAAAATCAAATCTCTGCCTGGTTACCCATTTGTTATCACTGCATGCAACAGCACATGGGCCAGTGGAAGTTTCTTCTGTTGTGTTTTTTTCCCTTTAACTTTTCCACTTTGACCAAAGGATTCAAAAGTCTAATATAGAAAGAAGTCTTTCACCTCTCTTAGTGGTAAATATTGCACAGAGAAGAATTAGAGGGCAGAAACAAACACAGCTTCAGAATATTTTAAACCCCCAGTATTTCTAATTGCAATTTACCCTCTCTGGTTGTCCACTGCAAGCTGCAGTCCCAAAGGATCATCTCTGACATTTTCAGTGTTTGGCTTAACTTGCATTGCTTCAAATTGCTTCACATTTCTTGCCCTTTAAACCACACAGAGTTCTTTTTAAACTACACCACCCCCAAGGAACATGTAATAAAGCTTAGCTCGTTATTTTAATGAAATATTTTATTTTTCTTCTGTTTTCTCTTGCAGGTAAGGCCTTTAGATGATTGTCTGGACCCCAGATATCTTTCAGTCCTTTGGAAAGTTCATTTTGGTTTGCTCTCCATCACAAAGGCAACAGCTTTCCCCACAGACAAAAAAAGGGACAGAAACACTGCATCCTTTCTCTGAGCACTTCATTTCAAGCAATGATGTGAAATAACTGGAGAGAATCCAAAATCAAGCAATGGGAATGATATGAAGTCTAGAAAACATGACAATGAAAAGAACTTAAATTGCTTATTTAACCATAGATAAAATAACTATGGCAGGAAATTGCTACAAATAGAAAGGGCAAATAGTCACTGACTGAAACTGCAGATTCAGGTTTGTTTGTTTTTTTTTTTTTTAATATCTCATTTAGCAAGGCTCATAAAACGCTCAGTGGGCTTCAGGTGAGACAGGCATTAGCCACACGTGGTTTAGGTAGGTGGATTCTACCCTGGAGGATGGACCAGGCAGCATTAAAAGGTACCAGTGTTGATGTCCCTGCACAGCAAATAACGTCCCTGGGCATGCAGAGGAACCTACATACTCCTCTTTACCATATAAAAACCCCAATACTTTGGCTCATCCTTAGTTTTCACTCCAGCCCTTGCTTTAGCCTAAAGCATCGCCGGCAGTGAAGGGCTGCACTGGGAATTCTCTGGCTTGCATGTGTTTGATTGAGAACCTTCCTCACAGAGTTTGTCTCCTCTCACACAGAAACACTTGTTCCTCTCTATTCCCAGGGCACTCACTCTGGAAATTCACGTTTCTGTTTAGGAACAAATGTGCTTTTTACAGGGACCCAGCACGGAGCCTGCCCCAGGGCAGCTGCTCCACAGCAGCTGGGCTCCCTCCCTCCTGCCCGCTTCTTTCCACCTGGGAATTTGAAAAATAGGGGGGGAAAAAATAATCCCTCATATTTAACTCTCCCCCATGATTTCAAGGATGGCAGTCTGGGGTTACAGATGACCTTCCCACAAGGAACAGCTGCTGCTAAAGGATTCTGGATCCTTTTCTACCTTCACACAGAGTGGAGGCCTGGGACAGCAGCATCACCCAACACAGATCCCTCTGGACAGCTCCAGTGTGACTGGCTCACTTTAAAATCTCACCAAGCCCTCATGCTCTGACAAGAAAATGACCTGGAATATGTGGATAATCCAGGATGTGCTGTAGAAATTAGTCACCTTTTCTGAATTTGGGAATTATTGACAGAGACTACAAAGAATGCCAGAATTTGCACATGGATGGGGAAATGGGTCTTTACAGAGTGGCACTGGAATCTGTCTGAGCCTCTCAGCTGCTATCAGAACAATCATCCCTGCAAGCCTTGTGTTAAATAATTACCAGTGATTAGCACACAAAGCAATCAATGGCTTTTACAAGAAACTTCCACTTCTGTTTAATCTATTTAGGCTTTCACAGACTCATGTATTACTATGTTAACTAAGCAGATAATTAGCTACAAGAGGCGTTTTACTGCAGTTCCGTGGAAATTACTGGGTTTGTGTCATTGAAGAATCCTTTGTGCTCCCACTGCTGTGCACAGCAGTGATGCTGAGGGCTCTGCCCAGAACTGGTTGGAAAGTGGCAGCCACACAATCACCACCAGCAGTGACACCGAGAGCAAAGGTGCTTTTACAGAGATAAGAGGTTGAAGCTCCTCCCTGTGCTTCCAAAGGAAGGGAGGGTGTGAAAGGCATCCTAAACACATCCTAAAAATATACAAGACAAGTTTCCAATATACAAGAAGAGCCAGAACATCAGAAATATGTTCGTTCCTCACATTTATCTGCACAACATCAGAGTCAGCTCTGCAGGTTCCCCAGTCCTGCCAAACCACACCACTCCTGGCAGGAAGGGAAAACTGCCTTGCTGAGATGGAAATAAAGCCTTCCAGACTCACTGTCATCAGCTCCCCAACTCAGGAATGTCCCTGTCACACACAAGTCCCCAAATGGCTTTAATAAATGACAGCCTTCATCCCAGAACCCCTTACATGGACAGATGAGCCCTGCCAGCCCTGCGAGGCAGATGGGGAGACCATGGGGAGGCTCAGGGCTGGGGATTTTCCAAATCCTGGCTATTTTGGGCCTTACCAGCTTAAGACATCAAGATTTGACTGTTCAGAGTGTGAAGAGGAAGGAAAATATGTTGAGCATGGAGATACAAGGAAATGAAATGATGGGATCATGGTTGAAACAAGTGGAGAGAAGCAGCTGCAGGGAGCCTCACTCTGTAGAACAGGCTGTGGTTCCCTGCTGCACTGCCACACCACTTATTTTGAAGATTCAGAAACACTAGATTTTAATAAGGAAGATTACCACAGGCATTCCTGAACCCAGCTTTTTAAGATTTCAGCACCCACAAACAGGAGTCAGGTTTTCTAAAGGGCTCCCTCTGCGTCAGCTGGGGCAAGAACTTGACCATAATCCAGCAGCCAGTGTACCAAGCTGGTTTGATCTCACTTTTTCTGTCCATGTAAAATGCTGGGAATGCTCTGCCTGAAAGGCAGTGCCAGGGCAGGAGGGTTCAGCTGGTGCCTCATTCCTGGTGGGATCATTTCAAATACCACTTGGCATCCCTTTAGCTCTTTCCAGGAAGGGTAGGGACAAGGAATACCTCCAAAACATAGTTTTCATCCTGAATACATATTCATGTTGGAAGATTACATAAAAATATGCTGAATCCATCAATGTTAGATAATTTGAGCTATTATTATTAGGAGTGGGATGAAGAGTAGGGTCTGATCCTACCCAAAGCAGCTGAGTCTATTCTTGGGCATTCATGGCAGCGTGACTCTATTAATGCATAATTCCTTTGCACCATTTATCCAAGATACTGCCTACATCAAAGGAAGAAACCTTTCCCTCCTCCTGAAGTATGTTCTGACCCTGATTCAGAGGAAGTAAAATAAACACTTTAATATTGAGTCTCATGTAGCTTAAGTGTCAGTCTTCCACATTTTAAGAGCATGATCATTATAATTTTAACCCAGAATACACACACATTCTTTCACCAAAAAATACTGACTTCTCCTTAAAGAGAACAGGAAAGAGTCCTGGTATTCCTGCAGGGAGAGGGATGTGGTGAGGGCAACAAAAATACAAATATCCAAGTGGAAACCGGATGCTGAAGGACTAGGAAGTTCAGGGAAAGCAGGATTTTAAACACTTAAGGTAGCTATGGTCACAAGACTTGGGAATCTTCTATCAAAAGATGCTGAATGTTTCTAGAAGGAAAATATATTTGAAATACCCTCCCTCCTCATTTTCCTGCCAATGGAGAGACTTCTAAAAATAGAACGTGAAATTCTTGGTCACCTCTAGAAGGTTTAATAAGGATTAAATATTACAGTGCCAGAAGTCAGAAAGAGATTCTACCTGGCACATGCAGAATGTGTGGGTGTGCATTTAATGGCTGCATATAGGATATACTCATTTCCTCACACACAGAGGAAATGAGTAATCTCTTCTTCCACCCAAAACACACGACAGAGACCACAAACGGAGCAGCATTTCCAAGAACTCATTTGCTCAGTAAACCTTTCCCCACCATATGTGTAAATGTATAAAATGTATAAAATTCCTTCTCAAAACGTGCTTATTAATAGACTAAGAGAGCTACAGCCTGTCCTGCTCCAGCCTTCCTCCTTCAGGAGGACGAGAGGAGCTGAGCAGGCACCAAAAGCAGCACAACGAGGGAGGGAAACAAAACTTGTCCAGCTGGCCATGCTTACACTGCCCAGTTAGCAACCAGGTCTGTGAACAACTGGGTCACCTTCAGTTCATGACAGCGATGTGTTCAGATCCTGGATCCTGCCCTGTGCCCTCAGCTATGTTTCTCCAGCAGTACTCATTCATTATGTGCCCTGCATAATGCAGAAAGAAGAATAACCCATGGATAATTGGATTGCAGTCCATTAGCTGCCAGCCAGAGGGGAACTTCTTGCCATGGATTTCTTCTACTCATGTCCACACGTTTTGAAGTTTATTGTTTTAAATGTCACACTGCAGAACAAATGGCTGTGAAGTTAAAGACCTATTGAAATTTTCAGAGTGTATGTTCCACAGCTGTTCCCTTCCTTGGGCTGCTGGCTGGAAGAACTGCCTGAATCCCAGCGGTAACCAGCAGATCACATCTGGATAATCGTGTTCCAATTGAACAGACACCAGCCAAAATACGTTTGCAGTTCTAGGCCATGAATTTTTATGGCTTATCTGTACATGTGTAGTCGTTCCTGCCATCCCATTCTCCGCTCAGGCTAAAGCGAGCAGTCTCCATTACCAAAGATAAATAGTCTACTGCTAAAACCAGACTTTGGGCCAGATCCTCAGCTGTACCCAGCTGGGACTGGGAAGGGAGGAGGGAAATGGTGACCCAAGAGGAGCCAGTAACAGCTCATCAATCCTGGAGCTGGTTCTGTGCCAACCCCAGCATCGCTCCGAGAAGGCGATGGGCGGCTCCGAGTGCTGCCAGCTGGCTGCGGCCCCAGGGGCCATCTGCCACTGATGAAGCAAGCCTGTGCCAGCTAGGAGACTTCCCCACTCTTCCAGGAGTCTTAGAGAGGGTGGCACGGAGTCACGGAGGTCAGAAAGTCCCAAACTCCCAACTTCAAAGCAAACTCCATCTGGAAACTGCAGCTGTTCTTCGAGGGAACTGAGCTGGAGCCTGGGATCGGTGCTTGGAGTTGCAGTCACAGACTCAGTCCTGTTCACACCAAAGATTAACTGTGGAAAATATCCCAATCCCACATTTTCTGCTCAGAATAATTCCGTGATCAAGACTATTCTTGCTATAATTCCAAATGTTCAGTCTGACACAAGGGTTGTCCCAGGAGAAACACTAACATACCAAAAAGCTGGAGGAGTCAGGGCTTGGTTAAGAAGCATTCCTTGATCTTCCACAATTCAAAAAAAGTTTAATTACTCAAATGCTATTTATAACAAATAAAAATGGGATGCTGGCTGGGAAATGCATTTGCACACATTAGATCTTCAGGACTGCCAGACAGTCAGGTTTTTTCCTTGCCACACAAAGGCCCATGATCTGCCAACAGAGCACACTCACCAGGCTCATTGTCTTTATGTCTATGTCTGATCACCAATATGTGGTTTGCTTATAATTAAGCAAACAGTAGTAAAAGAGGCTAAAATGGATAAATCACCTTAAAAAATGCTGGTTAATGAAGAGTCATCTTCCTTTGCAATATTGCAGTTTTAATATCTCAACCTATACTATTTCTTTAATGTTTTAAAAGCCAGTTTCCCATTCAAGGTGGTGCAGAGAATGCAGCGTGCTGCTGCCTGAGGGAGCACATCATTCCAGAACTAGGGAAGAGTTGGTGACACAGTAAACTTCCCTGGAAGGATCTCTAGCAGAAACACACTCAGGCTCCACTGTGACAGCAAATGTTGCCTCATTGCAAACAGAGAACAGGAATTTAGCTTCAATGATCTCAGAAATACCTCAGTCCAGCCAACGGAACAAACTTTTCCCTCAATAAAATCTAGGTCTAAACAAAGAGGAACAAGTTATTTTGCTAAAATCAGTGTCAGGGTTCTTTAAATATTTTAATATTTCAAGATTCAGGGGAATAAAAGGGAGGAAAAGGTTGGTAAGAGCAAGTTACTGTAAGAGCACGTAAGCACTGCCCAGTGAGCAAGAACTGAGCGGGGTCACACTGCAAATAATCACTCCAGCACCAGCCCAGGCAGTGAGAACACTTTGGCAGCTGTAGCAAGTGTAGATCTCATCCTGTGGGCCACCAATGCAAGAACCTCTGTGTTCTCCACCCACCAAAGCAGACCTGGATGGCAGCAGTCCAATGCCAGCATCCTGCCCACAGCATGTTCCTCTGGCTGCCAGCAGAGAAGGTGCATTAGCAATATCAGTGAGATGCTCCTGGGAGAAACGCTGGCATGGATGAGCCAGCCGAGATAAAAGTGAGGTTGTTGCAAGCAAAGGGAAAAGCTGCTCAAACTCATGTTGGAAAAGGTTTGCAACCAGCAGCAGCTTAAGGAGGATGAAAATGAAAAATCATTTTTGACGAGTCTTCCCAACTACTTACAAAAAAGGGTCATCCATGACAAGGGATCGGGTAATAGCACAGAAGGAAGGATTTTGTCATGTGTCACTGCATCTTAAAGCCACCTTTAAATGTAGGATTAGTTAGAATCACAGGGAAGTGCTCTTCTGCACCTCTCAGTAAGAGCTCTTTAGGAGTCTCCAAGAATTCAATGTCCTTTTTCTCCACCTTTCCTGTTTGAATGGACTCAGCCACCAGCTCCCTCTCCTTATTTCTCAAGTAATCTGTGAGTTACCACAGCTGTTACTTTCCAAATAAGCCTCAACTTTGGTTTGAACAGTTCAAGTAGAAAGTGGAAAATCAGTATTTAGAAATTCAGTATTGAAATGGTGTTGTATATATAAGGAAAGTGTTCATGTCACTGGAGACAAAAGCCTGAGCTGCTCTATTTCCTCCCTCCCCTACACCCATACACAAAGCCTTCTAAAATGCAAACTGTGTTCCTTTCCATAAGATCAGTTTAACAGTTTTTGACTTTTGATTCCCCAAAACTGCCTTCCAGTGCTTGCTTGGAATTACTCTCATTAAATTTTTCAATTCCCTTGATTGTCCCATTAGCAATTAACTGATGCCAGAAGAGGCAGTTTCTGTTTCGTGTTTTAAAAGCACAAAACAGTTCTTGAGGCTGATAATTCTGCAGGAGGAAAAGAGGATAAAATGTATGCCTTTGGCCTTGAGGTTTTTTTTTTGTTTGTTTTTTTCCCCCCCTTCTTTCTAAAGACCATGCAGGTAAGAAAGGCAGGAAAATGAAGTGGTTACTCACAGAATGTTTGTCTGGGGCGGGATCTCGGGGATGGTTTCCAACATCAGATGCATGCATCTCACTGTAGTCCTGAAGCACAGGCAGCGGCTGGGGCAGGAGCAGGAGAAACCAGGCAGGAGGAGAAAATACAAAAAGCCTCCAAGAACTGAAGGTTTGATCAGCATGGTGTTTGCTGGAGCGTATTTGCCTCAATTCTGAGCTGCAGGGAGCTGACAAAAAAAAGTTTCCCAGCCCTGAGGTCCAGGAGGAGGGGACTCATCAGCATGTGTTTGCAATTAAATTAAGGCAGTTTGACAGTCCAACCGCCCACCCCCTCTGCCATTCTGCACATCACTGGAGATCACACTGTCCCCACCCCTCTCTGATTGTGGCGCTGAAATACAAACTCTTCCTCTGGATCTGTTTTCCCTTGTTGCTTCTTTTAAACAGCAAATTAACTCCTCACCTTCTCCTCAGGCATCTGTCTGAAAGCACAACGCACCTCCATGGGCAGCAACCAAAAAATGACCTCGTGCTGCCAGGGCTGAGCTGGGGTGCAAAAGATCCAGGGCCAAGCTTTTTATGTCAATTTTTTTTAATTATTTTTGCCCTAGCACAGTCTGCAAACTAAAGAGAGAGTCTTATCAAACAGCCTGGCAAATGTATAGTGCTGTAAGACTTTCAGGATAGAGGCTGTCTCCTGTTGCACGTAGTTACAACATCAAGCAAAAATATGCCTACAGGTATTGAGTGGGCATGGGATGTAACAGATAAGGGATTTCAAAAGGGATATCACTAACAGAGATAAATAACTTGCAAATGAAGGCAAAACCCCACCCTGGAATCTGTAAAGTTTCTCAGGCAGAGTGAAAGACATTTAAGGCAACTGAGGGGTGAAGAAGGGTAAAAAACATGAAATCTAGTGAGTTTGAACTGTAGGGAATGCAGTCCTCCATTTGTTTCTCCCCACTGGAAGATAAAATTGAGATGCAAAAGGCAGGATTTGTTTCCAGTTGCATTAATCACTTTATAAAGAAGCTGCAGTGAAAGCAGTTTAGGTTTCAAGCTATAACTACACAATATCCTAAATGTATGGGTTGAGCATGAGGGAGGCATTAACACACATTAGGATATAAATGTATTTGAGGAATTTCCAACACAGCACCATCCCACATAACCTGGCAGGTCAAATGAAAGCTTCCCATCAACCTGCACATCTGCTTTGTACTGTACACTACAAAGTAATTAATGGGGCAAAGAAGACAAGAGTGACATTTAAACTGTCCTCGTTCTGTCACTTGAGCATTTGGAGAGAACATTGGATTTGTGGTTTCACCTTATATTTCATGCCATGGAGGGTAAAACGTGTATTCGTTTGTCCAGCTACAAAAGAGAATTATCCTGCAGGCTTTCTGCACTAATCAGCTGTTTGTTTGCCCTGCCATCACTTGGAAATCTAAGCAAGTTCACTGAACTCATGGTTTTGGGCAGAGTGTCCTCTAGCGGCCATCCAACCCAACCAGGGCCAACCCTGCTCACAAAAACGGGTTGTAAAAAGCCAAATTATCATCTTCAGCCTTCCTACAACTGGCAGCCAAAACCCCACTGCTCTGATGAATAGGACAGCTTTTAATTCCAGAGGCGTTGAGTGCGCTGGAAGCACATCCTCCATGTGCACCAGGCAACGCACATCTCGTGAAAATCCTCCTGCCTGAAGTTCTGTCCTTGCAGCCTCACTGCTCCTCACATCTCCTCCCTCTGGAGCACACTGGACTCTGCTAGGACAGCTCTGCAAAGCTGGGAAGATAAACAAAAATGTTCTCTCCAAAGCACATGGAGGTTCTCTTGCAGCCATCGTTTCCCCTGGCACATCTGGCCACTTTGCCAATATGAGGCTTTTGCTTTCTGCCTCTGTGGTGCATAAACTCAAGAGTTCTAAACCAACCCTCTGCAACAACAACAACAAAAATCCCTTTTTATTTGTGCTGCAAAGAGGAGAGCTGGGCCAGGGCTCAGTCCCATTTCTGTGGGATGAGTTCTGTCTGTGGAATTGCATTTCGAAGTCCATCTGTGCTGTGGGGGAGCAGCTTTGGGATGGACTGAGGGGTATTTGCCCACTGCTTTGTAGGATTGGGCTCTTGAGCCAAGTCAGCAGATTTAACAGAGCATGGGGAATCGTTTCAATGCAAGAAGGCAAATTCTGCATCCCACACATTTTCTGAGCAGCAGATCTTCACCATTTCTCTCCTGGCTTGCTCATCTCATCTCCCCTCATGATAAATGGGATGAGGGTTAAGGAACACCAGCAATCCCAGACCCCTTACTCTCACATTAATTTGTCTTATTTTCCATCAACATGACAAATTCTTTAAAAAGGAGTGTGCATCTCTCAGCAAGAACCAAAACTTGTCTCCTGAACACCAGGAATGATGTCAACCCTTGTGTCCCATGCTCCAGCATTTTCCAGCCTCTGCTACACAGGCTTTTCACGCCTGTAGAAAGCAAGAGTTGGGGGGGTTCCCTGAGGTGGGCTTTTTCTCCCCTTCACCCTTTGTATTTTTTATTTTTAACTCTCCCTTCTGTCCCTTTTTCTTCAGCAGAAAGATTTCCCTCAGGGGACCTGCCCCCTCCCTACACCCCAGGGAACAGTGATGTTCTATGTTTTACAATGAAGTGAACATAAACATCATCTGACAAGTTTAATTTCCTCAATACCGTTTGTATGACACATCCATGGCTTTTCAAAGCAGAAAAGGATTTTCTTTCAGCACACGTCATGTGAAGGAAAACATTAACATCGAACTAATCTCCTGTTATAGCTGGGAAAAGGACATTTATCATACACACAGATGACAGGAAGAAACACACAGACAAGCAATTATCCTATGGAATAAAGGTTAACAGATTCATTTAATTAGCAGCAGCTGTATTTGCTATTATGATCAGATTCCTAGCACAGCTGAAACCAAAATATTGTTCTCAATACTGGAGAAATGAAAGCCTTGAACACCCGCTCTTAAAAATCCACGTTAATTAAACACTCAGAGAGAGCCCAGGGGACAAGAGGGGAGCTGCAGTTCAGAATGCACAGAACAAACTCCGACACATTTGGTTTAGGCAACTCCTTGAAGTACAGAAATGAATGAAATCACCTTTTGGTATCTGTTATTTACAGGTCAAACAGCCAGGGAACAAAGTCCACTCTTTAATCAGTCTGACACAATAAATATACATCAGTTCTGCGTGTGCTGATCCCAAAATTCATCCTGCACAGCTGCTTTACTTCAAGGTTTGGAACTCATCATCTGGGCAGGTTTGAGAGAGCACATTCTGAGGGGTTCATCTAAAACTATGCACCCGCACCATATTGTTAAGCATTTCTTCTGCTGTTTTTGTGTCCTGACCTCCAATTATGGAAATAAGCACTCACCTACAAAGTATTCTAATCACGACATAATGCAAAGCCACGTTAAGAAGGCTAAAAGTCTTTACTGAATTTATTGATACAGAAACACTGTTTAAAACACTGAGTTTAAAATGCATAACACTTCTGGCATGCCTCAGGCCAACTGAACTCTAGTTTCTATACAGAGATTTTTCAGCTTACACACTCGTGACTAAAGCAGCTTAAAGTTCAGTTCTCTTTGCAAATTTGCTGCAGGACCGAAACCTAAAAGGAGTAAGTGATAACTACTGAGAACACAAAAGGAAACAAAGCAGGTACAATTCCTGGACAGCTCACAGATCCATACAAACCCAGCTCTGCCTCAATCCCTCTGCTAGAAATGCCTACAAAACTACAGTGCAAGTGCTTGTGCACAGGAAAATGTATTTACAATTCCCCTTTATTTACAGGCTGTAAGCAATACTATTTCACAGTTATATTATACATAAAATTTCTACTATTTGTTTAGATCTGTTTGGACAAGGGGATAATTCAACAAGCTAGAACATAGATTTCCTATATATATATATATTTATTTATTTATTCAACCTTATCCAGGAAAAAAAATAGCAGTATTTATGCATCTTATAGAAAGCTACAAAATCTAGCAAATGTAATAAAAAAGGCAAATCTGGTGAAAAATCTGATAAAATACCTTTTACAGCTGCGGCTGGGATGGGGATAAAAACCAAACAAGGGATAAATGCAAGATAATCCTCCCTCAACTGGTCAGCTTTAACAGAATCTCTGCAAGGCTCACTAACAGGAACCTGAAGTTTAATGTCATTTTTAAAGGGACTTCTTTAGCAGTGCTGTGATTAAACTGAAGAATGACCTGGTAGCCAAAAGCAGGAGGCACCCTGGACTATGGAGGGGCAAGGAAATTGTGCCACAATCCAAAGGCACATACCTGGCATGACACCCATTAAAGACTTTTCCAACAAGTAAGAGGCCATAGCCTGAAGGGAAGCACTGAAAATAATTACACACGGGTTATACTAACCCTCTATTTACCACCACATTCAGGACTTGCATTTGTAGAAAGAAATTCATGGGAGATGCCAGAATCCAATGATGGGTACGTGCATCTTTACAGGAAACATCAGCTCACTGCAAATAAAGAAATCAGAATCCAAGGGATTCTGGGGATAACTTGGATAACAAGGATTTCAGGGGATAACTTGGGGTACCATTGAGATCAGAAGTGGAGACAGCAAACCAGAGGCAAAACCCATCCTATGACTGTTACATGCCAGCAGTCACATGATACAGGATTATCAGACAATATTCCTGAAGAGACACAAAAATCCTGTTAAGCAAGGAAAAGTTCTCCACTTCAGGCTCAGACATACATGTAATTCATTTATTTTCTAAGTCACACAGACCTTTGAAACTATTTTTCATGAAGCAAGTTGTGCAACTCAGGACCATTTGACAATACAGTCTTCACTCATTCCTCCTCAGAAAATGAGGAGACAGCACACACAAAAAAACCCAAAAGATATCAAAGTGATACCAACTTAAGTGCTTCTGATGGGGCAATGCCTTAACACAGTTTCATTACTTGCTGAGAAAGAACTTTTCATTCCCCCCAGCTTTAGGACTATTTCACATCAACACAAACTCCAGGTTTTCTTTCCAGCCTTTACCAGTCCAGGTACATTTTCCAAACAGGCTGAACCAAGTAAACCTCTTCTAAACACAGTATTTTATTATCCACATAGATTGTGGACTCCCCATTCCTGGAACTGCCCAAGGCCAGGCTGGATGGGGCTGGGAGCAACCTGGCCTAGTGGAAGGTGGTGCCCCTGTACATGGCAGGGGGTTGGAACAAGATGATCTTTAAGGTCCCTTCCAACCCAAATCATTCTGTGATCCTGTGATTCCATGGCATCCCCCTCCATCTCCATTTCAGAGAATTTTGGAAATAAAAATTACAGCTCACATCCACAGAACTGCAGAGTGACAAGACCTTCCATAAGAACCTGTTAAAATTTCCACTTCATTGCTGCAGGAATAAAATCACCTACCAAGCTGAGCAGCTCCACTCTCCTGTGGAACACTGGTGAACAAGTTGTATTCTGGCCACCTTGCCACAGCAGGAACACACACACAGGAACCCCTGAGAACTGCATCAGTTTGGCTCTCTAGGCTGCTCTCAGGTTCTGCAGACCCCCCACAAAACTCTGTTTGGCTGATTTACTGCTCAGGCTGCTGCTCTGCACCTCACTCTGCTCAGCCCAGACAATCTGAGTTATCTCACATGACAGCAAAACCCACAGATACTGCTTTCAGCTTGCACAAACTCACTGCTCTGCAGCTTTTCTCTACCCTCCGAATTGTTCTCTCCACTCAGAATTACTCTGTAAACATTTTCAGAGACAGCAGTCCCAACCCTGACTACCCTTGCATCCTGTCAAAGTTAAACAGCTTTGCAATTCCTCACTTGCCTCCATCACTTTAAAAGAACCACAAAAATCTAACAACTCGTTCTCTAGAACAGGGGTTTTCCCTTTAAAAAAAATAGTATTTTGTGAAACACTTTTTACTGAAAAATTATATATAATTTACAAGCAAAGCAGACCAACCAAAGGGGAGCTGATGCTTTCCATTTCATTCAAAACCTGGATGCCACAAGGGTAATTGCAAAAAATTCTTTCCTTTCTGTAAAAGTTGTGCTTTTCAGATTACTGGAAGAAACATGATTTGCCAGGTCAGGTTTTAACTAATAATCTTCATCCTCCATTATACACACACCATGGCAAATACATGGCAGGTTCAGTGGGAGAGAGCACAGACGGGAAAGGTCTTTGGGGAGCTGCTCAGGAGTTCTTCCCAACTGATATTTGGTAGAGCAGCCATGAGATTTTTAGGAATATCTCCTGCGGGTAGTTTCGAGGGAATTAAATCCTCCTTTCCATAAGCAGCTGAGCACTTCACCAACTTGCTTCCTAAGGAATCCCTGCTGTAGAATAAAACTAGAGCACACAACTGAGAAGAAAGAAGGAACTCAAAAAAGCTATAATGTCAAAGTTTACAGCAGCCACATTCCCCAGCCAGCCTACTGCCTCGGGTGTCACATTCGCAGGCAAGCAAGTGGGACACATTTGTCAAGCCCTAAGGAATACTTTATTCTCTGCCTACTCCCCACTTTCTAAAAGAAGATCTACTTTTCCCTGTAATAAAGCAAGTAATACTTCAAGGGATCGGGCAACGGCAGGCTCAAGACCTTTTCTCTCAGAAAGTTTACGGGAGGCTCTGGCTTTAGTTCAGAGGGTTTGGTTTCCTCCTCCTCCGGCCTCTCCTCGTCCATGTCCTCGCTGTTGTTGTTGTCATCTGAGGGGCTGGAGATGCGGCTGGCGAACACCTCCTTGTCCAGGAACACGATGGTCTCCATGCGCCGGCGCCGCAGCCGCCTCCGCTTGAACCTGGCCGGGCTCTTCAGCCCATTGCCAGCCCTGCTCATGGCCTCCTGATGGATGATCTTCTTGATGGTGCCTCTGATGGCGATGCGAGCCAGGTCCTGCAGGCTGCGAACCGCCACGGGGGCTGCAAGCAAATGAAACCTGTGAGCCGAGACGGAGAAACTTCCCCCAGAAGTACTCCCAGGAAAAGTTCTGTTTGCTGTGAGCTGAGATGGAGAAACTTCCCCAAAAGTACTCCCAGGAAAAGTTCTGCTTGCTGTGAGCTGAGACGGAGAAACTTCCCCCAGAAGTACTCCCAGGAAAAGTTCTGTTTGCTGTGAGCTGAGACGGAGAAACTTCCCCCAGAAGTACTCCCAGGAAAAGTTCTGTTTGCTGTGAGCTGAGATGGAGAAACTTCCCCCAGAAGTACTCCCAGGAAAAGTTCTGTTTGCTCAGATTAAATCAGGCCATTTGAATTCCCTGCTGGGATTACACAAACAGCTCTATTCAGCTCCTGTCAACTCGGATAAACTGTGTTGCAACTTTCCAAACGAAATTTAATTGTGCATTTCTCTCATTAAAAAGTTTCCTACCTTGATTTCAAATTCTCAATTATTCTAAGACGCACATATTAAAGATTGTATGAATGCAGACTTAGTGATGGGAGCTGTGATTGTTTCATGGCTTAGAATCAGGTATTTTCCTGTGATACATAACTAGACCTGAAGTCTGTTTAATTCTTCCATAAAATGATTTTTCTATTGTACAGCTCCTTCAGCTTTGCCAAGTTCTGCACTTATAAAACACAAGTGCTATTTATGCTCTTCAAAAACTGCTTCAGACTTAGTGGGTGAAGACAGGCTGGAAACCATTTTGTAGATGTAATTATAGCAACATTACAGCAAGTTACTGTATTAAAATGCCTCCCACAGTAATGGCTTGGAAGACTATTCTGTCTTCTGCACTTATTTGCTGCCAGCCTAGAAATGCAGCTAAAATTAAAAAATGTATAGATGCACACAGATCCATGAACTAAAATGAATTAAAACTGATACAAAAAGTCCCTGTCCTCTGCCAACAAGTGAGCTTTGCTGGGACCTGAATGAAAAAAGAAGAAAATAACTACAAAGAATTTATGGGCAGGTCTCACTACGAAGTGAGAACATGCTGAAACGTGCATTTATGAGACTTTTCTAGCATGCTGTGGACTGTTTCCTGAGCTCCTCTCTGTCATGCAGACACCTTTCCAGGTTAAGACCAAAGCCTGACTAATCTCTTTATGAAAGTAACTCTGTCTTCATGTGCTCTTAAGAGGCTTCTTGACACTGAAGTCTTAATCTAAAGATTGGGGCCACTGATACAACCTGCATTTCAAACAGCTAACCAAGTACTGCACAACTTGTGTCCCTCAAGCATTCCAGGTTCAGGATAATTCTGGATTACTGGGTGTGAGAGTCTTTGAGTAGATACAATATTTGCTCAAAGGTAGTGCTTGTTTATTTTCCTCTCCTTGTGGCACAGTGCCCGAGAACCATGACAGGATTCAATCATTCAGGACTGGAACAGAATGTGCAAAAACAAGGATAAAACACCCTGCAAAGCTCAGGTACAATTTCATAAGAAATAATTTGTGTTTAGAATGATGGCCCAGTGGAAGGTGCCCCTGCCCACAGCAGGAAAACTGGAATTAGATGATCCTTAAGGTCACTTCCAAGCCAGGCCATTCTGTGAGTCTGTGATTTAGAATCTATTTCATTCAACTCCAATGCTTGCACAAGACAGACAACTGTTCTAAAAAATTAAGGATTTGGAGTAATTTTCCTTGAAAGGATTCCCAGGGATGTTACAGCTCACAGCCAAGCAGAAGGAACTCTCCCAGCTCGGGAATGTCTGTACTTACGCAAGTGAACGAGCCTCGATTTTCCTGAATCTGTGTGGTTTGGCTGAATTAAAGGAGCAAAGGAAACAGCAAGAATCTTCTTGGTCTCCCAGGCAGAAGGACCAGTCCGAGTTATCTTAGTCAACTGAGGCAAAACAAGGAGATTATTATCTATTCTGGCAACTACAGTGAGATTTTTGAACAAAAAAATGAACAAATTACTTTTCTGCCTGGACAAGTTGAAGTACTGGAAGCTGCAACGGTAAAAGGCGATGAGAAACATTATTGATTTTTTGAAAAAAGTATTGGGAACTCCATGCAGGACTAGCCCCAAGTAACCTCATCTATTGCAACAGAGCATGGGCACTGGTAATTTGGGTCACTCTGCTTGCCCAGATATTCCTCCAGGCTGGACCAGAGCAGCTGTGTCTGACCTCTGGGAAAACTCCTGAGTCACCATGAGCACTCGCTCCTGAAAAGGTCACAGATCAAATCTCCTACCCCAGCCCACTGCACAGCCTCTTACTGGGAAGAAACCCTGCACCCTGCTCCTCTCACGTTCCCTGACAGTGGTAAAAGGTCAGGCACTTAACCCACTTTTTACTAAAAGAATCCACTGACACTTAAAAATAAAGACATCCTGCACACGCTTTCAAGAGCCAGTCAGGGTGCAAAATGTTGTGCTTTGCCATTAAGCACAACACTAAATTATATAATCAAACAAAGCTATGCTCACATTTTCTGCAGTGTGGAAGTAAAACTGCAATTAACACAGATTGTAATATACGGAAGACTGCAAAGCTATAAACTTAAATATTAGGAATGTGCAGAGTTCAGTTTTCAGTCATAGTGAAAACCAGTGCACTTAATTCTTTCTTCAGCCTGATACAAGGGCAAGATAAAGGAACAGCTACTGACTAAACAAAGATCAGAATTAAGAGTAACTGAAATATGAGTAAAAAGGCACTCAACCTTCTCTTCTAGAGGCATGACAAGAATTCCCCCAACTTTCAACAGGCTCTTCATGTAGTCCTCGTGCTCCTTCTGGACTCCAGCACCACAGTAAACACGGTCATACTGAGTGCAGTCTGGAGAAATCTCTAAACAATTGCCAATGACAAAGGATGGCTCACAAAATTCAAACCTGAAAGTGAAAAATACTTGTATTAGACAAGAATACAACCATTTATCCAAATAAATTATTTGCACAATTCTGGAAAAAGTGAACTAAGGAAAACACTTGAAAAAACCCCACGGTTTTACAGGATTTCTCCTCCAAACCCATCTATTCTAGAGAATACAGCTAGAAGTCTCAAATCCACAAAAAATGAGGTCATAATTGATGGATTAAAATCTCCAAAGGATAAGGATGCATAATTTCATACTTGAGCTGCAGGTAACTCTTCAGAACAAGCTATTTTTAGTCACCTAATGCTGACTCAGTTGTAAAATGCAAATACAAATACCAGACCTGCATTTCCAAATATCAAAGTCTTTTAAGGACTGCACCTGGGTTTACTTTTGCATTTTCAAAAGCTTTTAACTGGTTTCCAGATGTGGGGAACTACCTCCTGATGATACAGAAGTAAGCTGTGCTGAAGTCAATGGAAGTTTTCCCATCAGCTTCAAAAGAATTGTGATTTCAGTCTTCATAAAAAGACTTTTTGCCTACAGTATTTCTGATTTGGTTTAGAAGAAAAATTTCTCTGATGCCTCTGGTTTTCTTACAAGCTCACAAACTCCCCAAGTTTTAAGCCCTACATTTAAAGGCTGATTTTGGAAGGAGTTGTTCAACACATCCATTCTTTTACTGCTATCTTGAGTGGCAGCTCAACACAGCACCTATTTATTCCTAAATGCTTCCTGGAGCTTTCTGGGTTTGCAAAGAGGGCTGGACATTCAGAGCAGCCAGAGAACAGTTCCTGCACACGCTGTTCCAGGAGCACAACCCAGCAGACATCACTCAGCAAAGCCAATTTTCCAGGCATGTTAATTTCTGAATGCAGCTTGCTTTTGCTCCATAGCTATATTTGTCCGGAGAGAGAAGAAAGTCTTCCTTAAAACATCTCCTCAAACAACAGCAACATGACTGAAAAAAACCCTGTTGAGCACCAGAAACTTTCAGTTTTCTGTCAACATGAAGAAAATACAATCCCCTCCTCGGCAGCTTCCCAGGGCAGCAGGAACAGCAAAAGGCTGAGCAGCCTAAAATCCTGCATGCCATGATTTTCATTTTCTTCCTCCCAGGAGAGGAGGGTATCAGGTATTCACAGACGCTTTGCTTCCCTGCTTGAACAAACTATGAAACTGATCCAAAAATGTGACAGCCACAACTTTTATTGCTGAGGTTACTATTGGCAATGGTTATCTAGCTGGGAAGTTATTACTTGTGACAGCAGCAGAATGGAGGGTCTAAGGAAGAACATAAATCAAATCCCAGGCAGTTTTAGTACCAACTTAATCATCATAAAACTACCTTCATATTTTAAAATGCCATTTTTCCTTCTTCTCAGATAAAACACATTAGGCCACCACAAAAACCAGTTCATAATCTCATCACCATGCAGGCTCTCAGGTCACGAGCACAACCAAGTATTGTTACTTGGACATTTTAAGCTGTTACTGCAAGTGCATTTAAAAATAAACAAACTTCCTCAGCTCCCTCTAAGCTCTGCAACATCAGCACTGCTATTAAAAACTCTGCAAACATTTCTGAAACCCCCACAACACACGCAGGCTTCAAAGGTCACACACTGCAGCTCAGCAAGCCTAAGGAGCCCGAATCCTCAGATTACCCTGAATCCAGAGGGGCCACAGGGGAGCAAGAACTTCCCTGAGTAAAGCCAAAAGCACCAAATTAATCCCAAGAGGCATTTTGCATTCTTACTTGTCAAAGCTGTCGCTTGTTTTAATGAAAAAGTCCAATTTCTGCTTCGCATATTCGATCACGTCAGAATGAAGCTCCACACCGTGGTTAACCCCGAAAGGACCTGCAAGTGCAGAACAGCAGGGAATGGCAACAGCAACAACACACAATCCAGCAGGATTAACACGCTCTGGGCTCCCTCCTCCAGCAGATTGTTCCATGAGTGTCAGTCGGTGTTTGTGTAGGGTCAGCTCTCTCACTGCTACAATGGGATTTGCAACCCTATACCTGCAATTTCTGGCAGCAAATGAGCCTCTTGTGCACAGCTGATTCTGAATCATTTGCTCTTAACTATGCAGAAAACTTCTCTATAGGAGGGAAACATTGATGCCATTGCTGTGAAAGTGACCACCTGGAAAAAAAGTCCCAGTGGTCTGCATGTTTTAGCACATCCATGTTATTTTTATGCTAAAAATCTCTGCAATTAATCAGGAACAGTCATCATACACTGTACCTCAATTAACAGCAAAAACAAATTGGGAAATACAAAAGTTGTTCAGCATTCATACTTTTTATTCAGAACTGACAGGGTAACTTCTGCAAAAAGAATATAAAAGCCCTGGAGTTACATATTGGTATCTAAGTAATGTCAACAAACCTAGGAAAAAATCACAAATGGGAAATGAGACTTTACCCTGAGAATAAACATCCCAGCAGTTAAAATTCTGGACACTCCCCCAAAATTTAAGTAAGTACCTTACATCCACTTGCTATCTATCCTAGCAGCACAACTCTGACTGAAACACTGCAGGGAGAATTTAAATTGTCCAATTCCACTTGGATAATTTGCTTTGTGCCACTGTAGATGTGGTCACAAAATCAGTTCTGCTGCACTAAAGTGTTTTCCAGAGAATATTCCCATCTGTGTGTTGGGGAGTTAAGAGTGAAAAGTGGATCTCAAGCATGTCTCAGTCCAGACAGGGCTGTGAACACAAACCAGGCACAGAGCAGTCACAGCTTTCTGTGGACTTGCTCAGTCCCAGTTTCAACTCTGTACTCCTGATCCTGACCTGGGGTCCTGCTTAAGGGGAAACAAACCCAGGTTTGTGTCCAGACCTGCAGGAATCCACTACAGCCACCTCTGGAAATACACTGCTGCCTGTTCTGATCTGCCACAGACATCTGGATTCCATCCAGTTCCAGAGAAGGTTGTGAGAATCCTGGTAAATTGCTGAGCTGGATTAATGCATCCTTTACTTTCCCAGCTACCTTTTTAGCTTCCTCAGTGGAGGAATACCTCATCCCCAATTTCAAAACCTGTTTTTAAAGCTCTGACACAACCAGTTAATGTAACTGAAGAGGTATTTACCCAGGATGAGTCCAACCATGGAACTCAGATAACCAGTGCCACTGCCAAGGTTCAGAAACGAGAGCCCTGGTTGCAGGTCCAAAGCTTCCATCACCTCTGAGTAAATGCATGGTGCTGAGAGATGAATATTTCCATGCTTCCACGCCAAATCCTTGTAGGCATTGTCTTTGAACTCTTCCAGGTAGTAATCTGCCCGATCAATGGCTCGGAATGCTTGTTCCACCAGCTCTGTCCTGATGTACTGGGCCTCCTTCAGGTTATCAATTAATTCATCGTTATCTTCTCCCGCACTCACCGCACCTCCCATCTTCAGCAGCCTCCTATAAACGCTAAAAGTGAAATAACAAAAAGCAAGGTGAGGTACAGAACATGCACTCCAACACTAAATTATGTACATGGAATGCTTTGAGAGAGATCCTTACCTGCTCCAAGGGCCACAGGCTCCACAAAAACCTCACCCCAGCACTCCCGTCCCCCATCCCAACAATGGAAAACAAAATGCAGCAGATCTGGCAGTCAGTACCTGACACTAGTGGGGGAAAAATAATCACAATAGCCAATTTCAGTGTGCAAGGCCTGTGTTCAAACCCTCACATCAGCTTTTCCATTGAACCGTTTTATAGAAAGGATTATTCCAGCTCCTGCCCTTGGGGGTCATTTTTCACTGCAAGCCCAAACAACAAGGCAAGTTTGGGCTGTGTCAGAGCTCCTGTCACACACAAACTTTCTACCTCTAACAGCACCAATGACAGCTGAAGAGACTAAGACACAGGCAGAAAATCCAGAAAAATCTCAAACTGCATTTCCTTGGAACGTGCATCAGGACATTGACCGCACAGAGGTTCAAAAAACCAACAAAACTCTGACCTGTCAACCTTGCTTTGGTAAATGCACTTTAGCAAATGCACTTTCACACAGCTCATCTCCAGAGCCTGAGCCACCACCATTAGTGAAGCACTTAATGACACAGACAGCAGCTCCAGAGAGAATTCCCACTGCAGCCTACAGGTTTTAAAGGAAAACTTACAGAGGAACAACCACTCAAAATTAACCTGGCTTCTTCTCCCCTTCTCATACATTAAGGAAAAAAAAATCCTTTCCAGAAAGCACAACACGATTTAAGATGTGTTTGTTTACAATGCCTTTCCCTGCTCACAGTAATAACCACGAAACAGCAGCCTTGGAGTTCATTCCTGGGACCAAAAGATCTGCCTACAGCGAAATTGTTGGGGTTTATTTGTTGCTTTCAGCCACAGCAAATTACAAACTTTCATTTTCTGAGGAAACAAAGCAAAGCTACAGAACCCCAAGGAGATTTCACAGACACTGATCTGATTACCTGCAGAGGCACACAAAACAGGATATACTTAGGCAAGGAATTCGAGCCAGTTCTTAATCCATTCATGTCTCAAACACAGCAATCCAGTTCAAGATCATTAGTAACACTTGAAATAAAACATCATGTCTCCCCTTTCCACAGTTACTCCTTCATTTTCTCTACCAAAAATGACTCTGTTTTATTATTTCACAGTGGGAACACATCAGGTTGAAGGTTCAGGTGGGTTAATGTACCAATTATGTTTTTCCCCCTCCTCTTACATACACAAAACCTCACTGCACTTGCAACACAGGGCTGCCTGTACCTTTAGTCTTCTATTTAACATTCCACATTAAAATACTCTCTTCAACAAGGGTCTTGATTCCCTTGGCTTTCTTTTATGTATTTTTGTTCTTAGGCTTCCTTTATTATTCCACTCTTTTTGCTATTAAAAAAAAAAAAATTAAAAATCTACGGTTTTGGATTTAAAGCACGAAGTTGTGCCTTTAACAGTGCTCCACTTTGGATGACCAAGAAATTCCTGCTGATGTATGCAAGCCCTACTGGGACAACTGGTCTGACCTGGTTTCAGCTCAGCTCCATGGACAACAAGGGCTCTTCCATGTGCTACGAAAACAAAACAAACAGAGCTGAGACATTCTCCTAATGGGATCAGGGCATACCCGTGCTGTGACAGGTGTCAGTCACTCCTGAAACCATCACTTTCCCTGGACATCATCCTGCTTCCAGTAAAATGCACGTTTTAAAGCTCTGACATTCAAACTCCTCTCTTCCACAGCCTCGCTTAACTTGGTGGGAAACGGGATATATATCTATACCTATATCTAGATATAGATATAAATTACTTGTATTAAACTTTTCAAAACAAAACCTTCTCCCTCCGCAGCAAACCTCGGGTGCATTCTTTCTCGCTTCTACGGCAAAACAGAGATGTCCCCAAACCTGAGCAGGGCCAAAGTCCACAGGCAGGAATTCGGACCTCTGCCCAAAACAGAGACACCAAAGGCGGCTCTGCGTGTGTAAACATCCCCTCGCTGCCTCTGAGGGAAACAAACCCGAGCCCGGCCCCAGCCTGGAGCACCACACCGGGACCCGCAGCGCCGGGCAGGGCTCGCAGCGATGCCCGAGGCACGGAACTGCTCCCCGGGGCAGCCCCTGCCCTGACACAGCACCGGGAGGGACAAACGGGAGGCGATTCCGTGATTTCGGATAAAAGCGGTACCTCAGCGGATGGCTCGGCTCCGTTCGGCTGGGCTCGGTTCCGTTCGGTTCCGCTCCGTTCCGTTCGGCTGGGCTCGGTTCCGTTCGGTTCCGTTCGCCTCCGCTCGGTTCCGTTCGGCTCCGTTCGGTTCCGTTCGGCTCCGCTCGGTTCCGCTCGGTTCCGTTCGGCTCCGTTCGGTTCCGTTCGGCTCCGCTCGGTTCCGCTCGGTTCCGTTCGGCTCCGTTCGGTTCCGTTCGCCTCCGCTCAGCCCAGGCCGGCGCGCTCGGGCTGTAAACACTGCCCAGCTGAGCTCCGCTCGCGGCACTGCGCATGCGCGGAGCGCACCACCGCCGCAGCCGTGGGGGGGGAAAGCGCAGTCTGGGCCGTACCACCAGAGCCGGAGTCCCGGGGATGGAGCGGGCTGGAATTGGCTCCGTCAGATCCGTGGAAAAGTTCCAGCAGCTTCTCCCAAAAGCCACCCCACCACCCAAACCTTGCCGTGCACACTCAGTGTGGCGGGCCAGGAGCACGCTGTGGCTCTCGTGTTTCCCATCGCAAAGCTCCTGGGCACATCTCCCCATCCCAGCGTGGGTGCCTTTCCCCATTCCCAGACTCTCTGACCTTCCCAAACTTCTTCATCTCCACACCCGCTCCTGGTCCCAGTCCTGGTGGCACTGTGACAGCCTTGTCCCAGCTCCTGGTGGCATCGGGACGTCCCGGTGATGCCTCAGGTTTTGGCTTTTATCTTTTTCAGATTCTGTTCTGCCTTAGTGTGCACTTCTGAGCTTCATATTAGGGATGGTAAGCACTCTTCACGGAGTAGGGAGACAAAACAATTCCTTCTCTAGCTGGGCACCAAGGACAAATGATCCATATCTCAGTCCCAAGAGCACAAACAATGGACTGGAGAGATGAAAACAATCAGGATGGGACTTCATAACCTAAAGCTGGAATTGCACAATGAACTCCAATATGCGATAAAAGTGAGAAACCCCGTGAGCGGTCGTACATTTTGGGACCGTTTTGGTTCACCTTGGGTGCAGCCCTGACTGGGCTCTTGTGCTGCCCAAAGTGGATCCATGGAGGAGATCCTTTTAATAAATCCCTACTTTATTCTTTAGCCCCATCTAGTCTCTGTTCTAGGTCAGCCCTCACAAGGCATCCCGGGATGCGGGAGGGATGCAGGAGCGAGGGGCTGGGGGATGTCAGTGAGCTGCGGGCACAGACACAGGAGCCAAACCTCCTGAGTGAAGCCTGGCCAGCACTAGATGATCTGGTATCATTAGTCAGGCTTGGGAAAAAATTATGGGAACTTAGGGGGAAAAAAAATTGTGGTGGGAATTAGTTGATATTCTTCATTTTGAGCTGATGAACATCCAAATTTAGTCATATGCTCTGATTTGTTTATTTTTTTTTCTCTGCAAGCATAAGTGCCAGATGTGAATTTAGTGAAGGATAAATAAGTAAGATGCAGATTCACCTGATTCCAGGGGCTTGAAGGAAACACGGAATACTGTGAAATTTCACAACGTCTGACATGCCATTCATTTAGTGAGGAATCTCTGTCCCATAACTGTTAGGCCACAAATTTATATTTTACGCACCTGTGTGAGCTCCTTCAGTGACCTGGGGAAAAGGTGTCTCCTGTCTAAGACTGAGAGAAATTATCCTCTAAAAGTGCATGTTTGTTTTCATGTGTAAATGACCCACTCAGTATTGGCTGATGCTCCAGATGAAATAAAATTTTCTAGCCTAGCCTTGGATCTAGGACTTCATATGGCTGCAAAATGAGAAGAAATAACTACAAGACAAGAGGCCTCTTAATTCAAATTCTCTGGAGATGAACTGTGAAAAAAAAAAGCTGTCTTGGCAGACACAACAAGCCTGCAGCAGAAAAAAAATAAGAATTACCCTGGTAAATGAGACTCAAATAGGAGAAAGTGAATCAACATCTGAGATTTATTTATGCTTTAAGGTGATTATCTCAGCTCCCTTCATTAACGTGACAACAGCAGACTCTGCAAACAGGCGCAGGGTAATACTGTAGATGTCTGCACTTTCATTTTGCAGAAGACAGCTGCCTGGGAGAATGGGATTATTCGTGGAGAGCCAGCTCTGAAACTCCTCCTTGCTGATTCAACCGAAACAGGCCGTGGTGATTGCACTCTCCTCATCTTTCACACGGAAAATGCTCAGGGATAATGGCAACGCTCTGGAAACTGCAGACGCAGGACACACAAACTCCTTGCACGTGTGATTCCATTCAGCCTCTGCTCCCTTTGCTGCTGGAACCACTTGGAAAATAGCAGTTGGGTTTTGGTTTTTTTGGTTTGGTTTTTTAGGGGGTTTTTTTGGGTGCAAAAATTGTTAAAATAAAAGCTGGGTTAAAAGAAAGAAATATTGCAATTGTTGCTAAAGCAGCTGTGCTGCCAGCAGAGAGCTCACAGGGACAGAGGAGAGCACTGGATGTGCTTCTTTCTGGCAGCAACGAGTCCTCAGGAAGCCCAGTAAGAATGTGAGGGGTGTTTTTGGGATTCCCAAATACCCTGTGCCCTCCCGAGTGTATTCATGACTTAGCAGCCTTAAACTGCCAAGATCAGTGAGGCTTGCAGCTTCTGTTTCCAGCCAGAGAATTATAGGATTAGCCAGGAGAAACAGAGAGGATGTTGCCACAGGCCCCCAGCCAGGTAATAATTAGCATTGACTCCATGACTGCAGAAGGCTGATCAATTGCTTTATTATGTCATCTTATGCTATATTATTCTATACTTATTTAAAAACTCAGTAACCTTTACAGCCAGTCCAATACAGCTTTGACCTAATTGGTCAATCCATCCAAACACCATCCAGTGTCCAATTAAGAAATCACCCTTGGGTAAACAAATCTCCATGCCACATTCCACATGTGCACAACAGCAGGTGCTAGAAGTGGAGATAATAATTGTTTCTCATTCTTTTCTCTGATCTTCTCCCAGCCTTCCCTGGGAAAATGCCTGGGAAAGTCTGTGCCTGTTATCTGTGGCCAGAGAGCTGCTGCTGCAGGAGGAAATTTACCCACTGTAGGTCCCCACCTCACTGCCTGCACCCCAAACCTGTCAGGAGCACAGCCATGGGCAGGGGGAAGCTGAAAGAACACATCATCCCCAAGGGACAGGTTGTTTCTGCACCCCTGACTCCTGCACATCTCTGCTGCACATGGCCCAAATCTCTCGAGGAGCGCCGTGCTGAGACAGCCACACTGTCACTGCTCCATGGGCTCCAGCTTCCAACTGCTTCTCCTCCCCTGGCAGCTTTTTCCCATCTCTTTTCTTTGAGAATGAAGCTGTGTCTGAAAACTCTTCCATGGGTGTCAGAGCACGGGGCTTCAGCTCTGGGGGATACCAAAAATTGCCTGATAATATTGTGAAAAACCCCACATTTAAGAAAAAAAAACCCGGCTGGGTGTTCCATCATTCCATGGGTCTCCAGCTGCTGATTCTCTGTGTTTCTTCTTTCTCTGCTCTTTACAAAGTCCTTCCTCTCCTCCATACAGCTCCCTGGGGCTTTGTGAGCCAGGAGTTCCAGTCAGCAATAGATCAGTGACTCCTACCTACAAACGCCTGTGGGCAGCTGCCCTGGCTTGGAGAGCCCCAGCACCCCCAGGAGTGGAAAAAGCAGAGCAGGATTAGGAAAGCAGGGCCTGGTGGCACTTCCATCACAGCCTTTCTGTCCCAGCCGTGCACCACAAGGTGTCCCCAGCAGTACAGGCATTGCTGCAGGGTTCAGAGGTGGCACTCAGCATCCTCTCCCAGGCTGGTCCCTCACAGGCACAAGTCTCTGCTCTCAGCAACCACAATCTCACCAGGGGAAATCAGGCTCCATCCTTGATTAGGTAATTGCTGAGAGCAAGCAATTTTCACAAGGCCAAGCTGAAGCCAAGATTTTCCTTGTCTTTATTTCCCCCCATTTTATAGTTTCCAACTTCATTTTTTAAAAAGCAATTTCTTTAATAAATATTTTCAAAACAACAGTCAGCATGAATTAACTTCTGATCTCTTAGTGATGCTGAGTTAAAATGAGATTATTTTGTTTATTTGGAAGATCAAACAGCAGAAATGCATTTTAGCCCCAAACCGGGGCCCAGCAGTCTGAGCTGACCTGCAGCCTGCTGATACAGATGGTTAGTTAAGTCAGCAGGGTAATTAGTGAGTGACAGGAGGACTCACATAAATTAAGAGCTGGGGGAACCTTAAATCATAGGGGTATATTTTCACCACTTTTTTTTTCATTTTGTAAAATATGCTGTGTTGCCTTTTCTGTGTTCTGTGGTCAGTTTGGCTCTATATCACTTTCATATGCAAATATTCTATATATGCATATGCACACACGTGCATATATGCAAATACATGCAGACATATGAATTTACACTAGAATAAATATTAACACACTGACAGCAAATCGCTTGAGATCCTCTTGCCCATGCAAAGGATTTCTATATTTACATATATATATGTGTGTGTGTGTGTGTCCTCTTGCTTCACTTCATCTCAGGGCTCTGTGAGTAATTGCTGAAGCAAGGGGAAGAACATATGTCTTGATTTCCACTGGATTGCACCGCACACAACCAGTGCCACATGGAAAAAGGACTCCTAAAGCCCTGGATTCATCTCACTTAAGTGTGTCATCAAAGGAAGGCAGCCAGGAGATGCTGCAGCCTGGCTGAGAGTGGGAGGAGGTGTCACCAGACATCCCTGACAGTGGGGACATGGATCAGAGAGGTGTTTGATCTCTTTTTGGTACTGCCAGGAGCACCAGTGAGCCCAGCTCTCTGTCCTGTCCCTCTGCTGCCTTGTTGTGGCCCATCTGCCATGATTTAGGAGGCAGCTCCCAAATAAAAATCTCAGAAATCAAGCTTTTCATATTGATGGAGGAAGAAAACTATCCCTGGATCTTTCAAGTGATTCATGTATTAAATAAAATCAGTGGGGTTTATGGATTTATAAATAATAAAAATGCCATCAGATGGCAACCATATCCCACTTCCCTCCCTTGCCTTTGGCAGTCCTACGTGTCCCACCTGCAGACTCATTGGTGGGGCTGAGCCAGCCACATTTGTCCTCTCAAAGACCACGGGGGCTCATCCATCATGCTCAGAAGGGCCTTCCAAACCCTCCCTCCTCCAGCAATGGGAAAACATCTTCAGATTTCCAGTGGAAATTTATTCCTGGCCAAGATGAGCCTTATTTGATCTCCCACCTGTATTATCTTCTAACATAAATCTTTCCCCTTCCTCCCACCCTGAATGTATTTATGAAAAGTAATCATATCCTCTCTTAACCTTTGTTTTTCTAGG